TTTGCGGGCGGACAGCACCCAATCTCCCAAAGCTCCAACTGCAGCTATCAGAAGCTGCCTGGATTTCTTACGGGCCAAAAACCAAAGACAGGGTCGACAGATCTTGCCCAACTCGTGTTTAGTTGGGGTGGCTGAAACGGCACACTCACATTTGGCAAGTTTCGGTTGATGAGAACTTCTGCTCTTCGGTGTGGCCCTGAGGACGTGTCCTGGGATCAGCCTGGTCTCGGAGTCCCTCTCTTCCGAGGAGGACCTTGCGAGCTCCCTCTTCTTCCCCTCGCTCGAGCCCCCGAAGACGGGCATGGAGATACAGCTGGCGGCACTGCAGCATTTCCCCATCGGGACCTTCGACTTTCCGCTGCTCTTTCAGGCTTCCAAGCATTTCTGATGGCCGTGCCATGACGTTCTAGTCCCAATGCAACAGTGCAACAGGCCATGTTGAGATGGAAAGAGTTTGAGAAACTCGCTGGCCAATTAGAAGCTGTTTTCTTATCCATGGCCGCAGGACAGGCTCCCGCACAATTTAGCTCTTAGATTTGTTTGGCAATTGTTGCCAATGGGTGGTGCAGCGGTCCTTTCTGCGCAAACGAAATGTGCCAGTTCAGCAAAGTCGCCCTTGCCAATGGGATGATGTTGAAGTTTGCTTTCAAGCCATTGCACCGCTTGTTGACTGTCGTTCCTGGCCTTGCATTCCTTCATCCAGTTAGCTAACAGAAAGGCTTTGGAACACTACCTTCGTTCCCTGTCCACTTCCATGATTGTTGGAAAGATAGTTTGCCGGGCGCATGCAGTGTGCTGTGTAGATTACGGAGCAGAGGCCGTTCAGCACCACCTGCAGTTCACAATCCCCACGTTGCTTTGCCAAAGGCGATCGGCTCGATCTGGCGACTGGCATTCCAGCAGATAGGCATGAACGCATGGCCAAAGATGGCTACCCATATGATAGTCAGTTTTCCTCCAGGAGCTTGGTACCAAATGGTGCCCTTTCTTGCTTGTTATGTGCTACAAGACGCATTGAGAGTCTGAGAGTTCCTCAAGTGTAAGGGCGTGCGTGCCTGCGGTGTGTTGCTTGTGTTGTGCCTCCGTGTGTGTCTTTGCCTGACCCTGATTGGTGCTTAGAGTTGCGTTGGCATAGTGCACATCCCGGAATCAAACTTGCGTATTCCAGGGGCGTGTGTTATACCAAACAAATAATCCAATATTTATCTACCATGGTATTAATCTTGGGTTCCCTTGTTGCTTTCTTGACCAGTTGCTTCCGCCGACGCAGCACCGTTGATTGGTCAATTACACTAAAACCAGAGATGCCCAACTCACCAAGGAGTCCATGTTGGTTCTACATCGCCACACATTGCAAAGACTTCAGGGTGCAGGGTCGAGAGGAGATGGACACTTTTCGATTGGTCTTGGCTCGCGTGCTGAATGGCCTCTGGCAAACCAAACGGCAAGGAATTTATTTGACGACCCATTGAAAGACAGGGCAGTCATGAACATTTGTTGGGTACTCAGCTTCCTAGCCCGTTTTTGCAGATGCAGGCGACTTAGTTTTTTTGTTCTGCTATTGCCTGCCGGCGTGCATATGTATTGCTACAGCTTCTTCTGCAATCCAAAGACCGCATGTGACAAGCTGCCATCAGCCTTCCTGCTATGACTGCCGTGTTTCACTGCTCGGCTTCAACAAGTGGCGGGGCACAGGTTGAAAATGGTCGCCGCTCTGTGGTGCGGTGGTTGTTTTAGTTGGTTGCATTGTATTTTGCCATTCTGGTGTGCTGAGCAAAGCAAACATATTGAGCAGACAGCGGGGGTAGCTCCAAATCAAGTGTGTCGTTTACATGCAAGTCTTCCTTTGTCGTGGCTTCACGCCCTGCACTGTTGCAATCCAACACGTGTTGCCACTTGACGACAATATATGATCAATGGAACCAGCATGTTCGGTGGTTCGGGAGCTTTTTGCAGCGCACAACATCAGGCTGAGATTCCAGATGTGAATTTTATGCGGGCCTCCGTTTGGAATGGAGGCGTTGGCTAGGGGATGTGGTTGCATCACAAGGCCTCTTGCAGCTTTTCAGCAACCATGTAAGGAACGGCTGGATGGAGACAATTCCTCATGGCATCTAGTTAGTTTGGTGCATTTGGAAATGCATGCGCGCGTTTTCGTGCATAACAAATGCAGGCCTTACTTAGTGTGCCCAACGAATGCTGCAGAACTGTTGCCAACCCAGATGCTCAAAGTCCCAAGTTAGGCTCATAGTATGGTTCGCATGGGTTCTCATGTAAGGTGCACATCATGGCTCGTTGCCATGACCTTGGCATGTAACCTCTATCACCTCGCTGCTTGTCGTTGCGCGTGAGAGCGCTAAACCATTTTGCACATGAGTGCCAACCTGACAAATCTCAGAAATTATTCATTGGTCCATGGCCCTTTTCAAGAACCAGCCAGTTGGCCTAATGTGTCCATTGAAGCGCCGTCCTTCAGCGGTTTCCACTGGCCCCAGCCCAGGCCTTGGAGCCGTCGGAGTGGGTGGTTGCTGTGCACCAGCAGTTGCGGGACCGAGCACCGCGGAAAGTGTTTCGTCAGCAGTTCGTTGGCACAACATCTGCCTTTTTTTGGAGGGTCAAAACAAGCTCACCATGACCTAGATCCTTTGCTTGGGGATGCTTTGTTCAGTTCTTCGAATTACTGAGCCGTTCGAAGATGCACCCAAGCCTTGAAATCCAAAAAAAGGCAAGCGTTTAGTATCCAAGTGGCGCCGGGCGAGCTTTCAAACCCGCGCCCCGATTGAGGCCCGCTTACTTTGAGATTATTTGTAGTGTCACTTCGGAACAGCACGGATTGCAGGCAGAAGCACCTAGTTCACGCGAGCAGAAACCTTCAGGCGAGTCTCTTTACAATATACGTATGTGTGTTTCTCTTGAGTTTTTAAAACAAAGGCCCTTGGCCATAATCGGGTTCAACTATGCTTAAACAAGAAGAAAACATATATATATATATGAGAATCGACCAAAACCCCCTATGGCTTTTTTTGTAAGGACTGCATACGAAAGCATATTCGGTGTTACGGCGCTGTGGTCCCGGGAGACCGCGGAAGGCGAGCGGAAGTTTCGCGGAAGGTTATGTGTTATCATGGGATGAAGCTTTACCCGTGTACTACACGAGTACTGAAAAGTTGTGCTGCTTGAGCTGGCGGCTCGTACTCTGCTAGTACGTAAAAGCTTCGATGTTTCGGCTAGGCTGTCAAAGTCAAAGCATGCTTCATGTGTTGAATTGTACTGAGATGAAAACGATACGCCGAACGATGCCTGCCTCACATTCTCTCGCGTGCCGCAGCTGAGCGCTCAAAACGATACCCAAAACCATACCAAAACGAAGCCCCCCGGAACTGTGCATGTCGGCGTGCGCGGAGGGTGGCCAGTTTCTTTAAGCAGCGTAGCTTGTCGCTTGTTGCCGTGTTCCTCCTTCCTTTTCTTTCTCCGGTGTTCTGCTGCTCCGCTTCCTACGATTGTTTTCTGCACTAGATCTTTCTCTTGGCTTGCTTTACTTCTCCTTCACGGAAACTTACTTATGCTTAGACACGTATCAGAATGTGTGGTTGTACCTGCATCGCGGAAGATTCGCGGAAGGGCGAGGCGGAAGGCAATTTTTGGAGCAAGGAATATTGGACAACCCTCAATATATATATATATATATGTATGTGTGTGTATATGATACGTGTATAATTGTATATATATATATATATGTATGCATGTATACATATACATATATATATATATATATACATACGTATAAGTACACATGGCCGTGGGTCAACACCAATGGTACCATTTTGGGGTAGGTGCACCACCCATTTTAGTCTATTTTAGTGGGGTTTGGGATGTTCACTGGGGGTATGGGGCTTTGACCCATAGCCATATACAAGGTGTCTCTTATTTGCAACTGGAGGGAAGCCCAGTCGTCGCGCAGGAGGCGCATCCCAGCAATTTCGGGAAGGCTTTGGCCTTCCTGACCTCGGCAGGCGAGTTGCAAATCCAGCCCCAGCGGCAGGGAGTTCGGGGAGACTTTATTTGATTTGAACGGTACTGGGTCCTCTACCACATGGCTTGTTTAGATTGATGGATCACGAGATTCAATTCTCTACGTTTCTGATTGAATCATTTTCGTACTCGATGTTTTTATGGTACCCTCCCAGCAAGTAACATGGAATCAGACGTTCGGGACCCGGTCCCTTCAAAAGGAGAATGGTCCAAACCAGGACCCGAACGTCAGTTTCCATGTTCAGGTGATTTGCATGCTTGTGTGTGCGAAAATGGATCATCTGGGTCATGGGCGCAATGGTTTGACCATGAATGGCGCAGTTTCCGTCCACTTGTATTGAGCCAATTCGGCTTACTTAAGCCCGGGCTTAACGCCCAAGAATTCTGGATGAAGTCCCAGGGGTTCGGGGGTTCGTTGGGTTCAACCCCCCCTTCCCCATGGTTTCCTCCAGATGGGTATGTCTTTGTCTGCGGGATCCCCAAAAAACAAACAAATTGTGGTTTTCCTTCTGATTTGTGTTGTAAAGCTACACAAAAGGGTAACAACAAAGACACACCCAAATCCTTAGGTTCTCGCTTTGAAGGGGGGGGAACCCTTAAAGTTTCAGATTGGTGAAATGCCTGCGTCGAGCAGTGAGCGTATCAGCGCCCAACGCCCTTGAGCAGCGGGTTCCATGAAATTTCAATTCATCACCGCAACACGCTTGGACTTGACACAACCGCAACAAAGCCACTTGGACCTTGCGGATTGCAATGCAAGTCATGGCTGACCTGCAGAAATGTTGCCACAAAGCGCCACTTTTTTATTTGGCGCTTTGCGATTGATGCCTGCGGTGATGTTGTGGCGTTAGCCCCAAAGGAAGCTGCATAGAGGTGCATACTTGCGGCTGTTCACACCCTGTTTACCGCCCAAGGTTTTCAGGCGGAGTCTTCCCACACTTAGGAAGTGAGGGTAGGTACTTGGCCCAAGCTCCTGTTGCTTGTCCAATTCCATGACAGATTCAGCACAAATTGCATTCCAGCTGTTGCGGTCAGTGTGCCACTGGCAACCCATTAGTAATCCGGAGGCAGTTTCCCGGTGGTTTCCCAGCGTTGCGCTGCTTTGCTGGTGTTCGATGATGTCGTGGTGGTGTGCCAGTTGCCCCGGTGGTACCCAGGTGCTGGTGTCCTGCTGAGGTCCGGTTAATTTGCCGGCGTTCCATTAGTATCCCGGTCTCGGTGATGCCCGGTCATGAGAGCCTGCTTAGCAGGCTTGGCGAGCTTTCTGACATTGCGCCAGGCCACGTTTTCCGGCTGCAAAGTGAAGCAGCCAGATGCTCAGATCGCTGGACAGTCCCGGAAGCCATGCTCGTGGCTCGTAGGCCCTCGCCCAAGCATGTGTGATTTTTGAAGGCTGTCAGACTGTCAGGAGAACTCCAAATTTTAATGTGAGACTAAAAGGCAAAGTTCCTTTTAACCCATATCTGGGAGAGGTGAAAGAGAAGGCCAACCGCATAGCTGTGCTAATTAGACTTGTTACTGTTGTAGGGACCATTTGATTGTATGAACAGGAAAGCTGGAACCAAGCATTTGAAAGGCGACACACCTTTTCACAGCCCCGTACGAGTGCCTGGTGGACGGTTCTTTCCACATGACATGACCAAGGCACAGCCAGCAATCCAGCGAATAGCATTGCAGCATATAGGATTTATGAAAAATGAACGTATTACATATGTATGTATTATATATATAATAAATATATATATATATATATATGATGCGTAATCTTGTATATGCATATGTATTCATACCACCCAAACCTCCTGAATATCACATGCAGACATGAATGCGTGCATTGCACGCAAATAAGACTTACCACATGTAGTCGGTGTTTACATGCTGGTGCAACATCGGCTTGGGAACCAATTTCTACGATTCCAAGGGGATTACTTCAAGTGAGAAGACAAAGTTTGGTTCGTTTCCCACAACGCTTGTGTTCCCAGACCTCCGGTGCCTTTGTGCCCGTGACCATTAGCCGGATGTTTTCCAGGGTCACCTGGCCGTCCGCCCAGGGCTGCAATAAGTTGGAGTGTAATAGGGGAAGAAGCAGGCGTTGGTTGGTTTTCCGACTGCAAGCGCGGGCCGGTTCGCGTAAAACCGAGGCCATCGAGTTGCAACACCTAGCAGCACCCCGCGGGTTTGGGCCTCGGGACAAACTCAATCCAGGACAAACGTATACAAGTCACACAAACATGAGGTTTGTACCCAAAAAAGACACACACATGGGGGTTGCCAGGGGAACCTGGAGGAAATTTGGGAGGAAGAACTAGTCGATGCTTAGCTTTTGTCTTTCTAAACGGATGATTTCCCTATATGTCCTGTTTAGTTTCCATTAGCGACCAACAAAATGGCTACCGACTCTATTAGCCATGGAGCAATGATCCCCGTTGGGGGCCTCATATGGGGGGGAGGGCATGGTCAGAAAGGGTAAAACGTCGCAAAACAAGTTCTAAGTTCTAAGTTCTAAGTTCCGCGGCTCAAGTCTGAGAGCCGTGCTTTGGGGCTTGGTTCGGGGTTTGGTTTAGATGTTGGTCTATTTGTGATCTGCATGTTTACAATCTGCATGTTCTTTAGATCCATTTCATGGAGTTGTTACCCAGGGGCTGGCACCTGGATTTAAAAGCACGCCGCATTTCCGTTGTTTGGTGGTGCAATTGTTTTCAGAATGAAATTCCAGCTTCAGGGCCATGCATGTGAATCCTTTGCTCAAATGTGTGTGCCCCGGCTACTAGATGTTGACTCAGGGCTCCATGAGAGGGCAACAGTGTCTCTCAGTACTTGCCGCTTCAGAAGCGCCAAATCCGTCCGCCAGGTTCCAAATCCGCCGCCTGAACTTCGAAGGCTGGAAATGCTGGAAGTAACAACCGTTTGGCCCACGCGTTGGTTCCAAGGTCGTCCCTCCAAATCGGAAAGCATGGCGAGACTAACTACTCGGCAGGTCCACAAGTGGAAGCATCGTTTGTGTTCCAGGGATTGGGACGGAACTGCGGCATCAAGATGCTGTCCATGGGCTATTCTGGGTGCATAGTGTTATGATGGGGAAACCTTGGCAAACACTGCAAACATAAGTTGAATTAGAAGTACACAAACAAGTGCACCATGAGATACAAACCTAAAATACACCCAGAGCAACATCGCGGAATCCAAAGTACAACATAAACACACCTTCTTGTCCAAATACAGGCTTCCCTGCAACCCGACTTCGACCCCGCCCCGACGCATGCCGGAAGGGAGTCCAACACAGAGACAGCACACACACACACACACAGAGGCATCCATGCGCGCGCGCATGTGTGACTTGCTGCCGTGGGCTTTTGTGACAAGTACCAAGTCAAGTTTTAGGTCACAACCTTTCCCAGCACTAGTGCCAGCTCACTGGAGTTTGAGGCAATACTTTCGTTTGTTTCCACTGCATGCTGACATTCGGGCTCCTCAACAACATGGTTTGCTACTTAGCTGGCCTTTCTATCAAGAAATTGGAGGCTGCTGGCCGTATGTCTTCGAATTGAACTTTGAAGTTGGGGGTCCGGATTGTCCTCACTTTGTAGTTTCGAACTCGGGGGTTCTCGGCCAGGGCATGTTTTGCATTTGTTTTTGTATTTCGAAATTGGGGGTCCCTGGACAGTGTATTTCATTTGTATTTGTGTTCGTATTTCACTATTGGGGGTCGCCCCCCGGCCCGCCCCCTCCCCCCCCACACACAACAAACAACACTTCCCTCCCTAATTTGTAGCAAGCAGGTTGGAAAGCAGGTTGGGAGGAAAAGGGCAATGTGTGCCAGCTTTGCTTGAATGCCACAGATCATCAAATTCATAGTGCCTACGCTAGGTACCCGGACAGAGTTTTTTGTCACTTGATCCAGTTCAAAAGTACATCGCTTAAGCTTGCTGGTGCCCCCTCGTGTCCCCACTAGCACTAGCGCTGCGGGGTCACACTTTGGCGAGTCCTTTGGACATCGGTTACCGAATGCCTTGAGTGGATATTGCCGTTGCAATCTTGTCTCCAAGCTTCCTCCCCCTTAGATCCGAGTAAGTCCCCTCGGCGCTGTGTCGCCAGCATTTTGACGCGTGTCTTGTGGGTGCCGATCGCCCGGCGCCAGGCAGCACTCTGAAGGACCTGACCCTGGCTCCCGCAGTGCCCTCAACGGGAAATCACGGGATGCTTCACACTGGATGGTGTAAGGTGCAACTTCCGCGCCCTTCAAAGTCGGCAAGGCGTTGAAAAGGAACAAACAGGAGCACACGATGCATCGCATCCCCTGACGGTACGGCCTGTTTGCGGCCCATGTGTTGCAAGATGCTGATGATGGATATCGATAGAATGTCGTGTTGCTGCGCTCTGGGATTGCACATGCAGGCCTGAAAGGACCCTGTTGGGTCATTTCAAGTCCACACACAGTACGAAATATTGGGCTGCTTCCTGGCTGTAATCCATCGTTGCAAAAAGAACAGAGGCGTGCATTACACAATCAAAGCGGCGCATTGGGCAAGTACTTGTTCTGTTTTGATGCCAGTAAACGTGCATGAACCGCAAACCATTGTCGCTCGTCTCGCTGTAAGGCCAGCAGAGTCGAAAACAACGTGTCGATCAAAGGCTTCCGCTTTTGTTCGGTTCTTTGCGGTCTGTCGGGAAGACATCTCGTGAGTGGACCTTCCTTTTGGCGGCGGTTTGGGCCTATGATTCTAAAGCTTCGATTTCCATGTCTGGAGAATTTCTGCAGGTCGATGGAAGGGGCCTTGCCAGAATCTCCTGGACCCTGGGCGAGGATGTGGAGAGTGCCGCACACCAAGTGGATTGGTGGTCAAAACCAGCGGTACCATTTTGGGGTAGGTGAATTCACCACCCATTTCAGTCTATTTATGTGGGGATTGGGATGTTCACTGGGGGTAAATGCTTTTGACCCAGGGTCATGTCAAGCAACAACTTGCGTACCTCCGGCTTTCAATCGTCCATTCCAGCCATGAATGGAGACCCCTCCCACAACCATTGAGACTGTAAAGTATCTTGCCATATTGAGACCTATTCAGGCGAAACAGCTCCTACTCAACAAAGAATCTAGAGGCTGCAGGTTACACGAGACCGGGCTCAAAACCATAGTTGCAGCGGAGTGGCGGAATGTGCGGAAAACACTTGTAAATTCTGGATAGTTTGGCGTCCACAGCGGTTAGAGTATTTGGTCACACTGCCTCGGGCAACCGACGAGTGTGAACAGGTCGCATCCATGAAGAGCCTTGGGGCCCGAACTTGAATACCTTTAGCGATAGGGAATTGCGGTCTTCCTTTGCAACCAACCGGAAAAAGCGTGCTCAAAACAAACACACAGACACTCGGAGACACGCACCAGACGCACAGACGCGAACACACAGACACAGAGACACACAGACACAGAGACACACAGACGCACAGACGCACACAGACACGGAGACAAACCCAGAAAGGGTTCCGAACAAACAGCAACCGGGCTGGGCCCCTTTCTGAGGAAACAGCAACCTGGCTGGGCCCCTTTCAGAGATTCATTAGTTTCTCCACATTAGTTTGGGGTCCCGGTGGCGTCTCTTCAAACTATTTACGCTTTGTAGTGTTGAAGATGTCACCACGAGCACTTCCAAAGCATTTTTTCCTTTGGCTTTGGCTCAGCACAAACCAACACGAGCTTGGACCTGTGCTTAACGGACCTATCCGTCTCAAGTCACTGGAGGCACCTGTCCTCGGAGCATGGCTCGGTGATTCTGGATGATCTACCGTTGTCACTACGATCAACTTGACCACTCCAATGTCGCCTTCCTAAGGGCTGAAGGACTACAAAGAATGAACATGTGAAGTTGCCAACCGAGATCATGTGTGACAGTCTCTTGAAACTTGCATCAAACTATTATGCTGCATTCAGGGACTGACCTTGCATACCATCTCATCTCATCCCATTACCCGACCCCTAGGGATGTGTTTGCTTTGATGCTGAGTGTCCTTCTTCCATCTTGAGTTCACGTCGTCTCTTCCGCCCCGGCGCGAGTTTCATTCATGCCATGGGTCAGACGCTACGAAAGCTCCGCTATGGATCTCCCACTCTAGTGGCAATGTTTGCGCCAGCTGATGACGGCGAGCAGCGGAAGGTCATGGACATGTGTGGTCAGCTGGTAACTGAGCTAGGCCTGATGTCCGGCGGACATCGCGTACACTTAACAATACCCACCATCGGACAGGAGATAAGGAGGACCTTCATTTGTTTGCCCTCCAGGGAACTAATCCTCCTCACTAGTTACGGACATTGTGAGAAGTTCCGCCCACTATTTCGCATGTATTGCTTGAATACACAGGCAGTTATGCTACTCATTCCGCTGGACAAGTATCGACAGGACCCCACTGCGTGCGTGCGCTCCGTTGTAGAGAAGCTTCTTGGCTACATCACCCTCTTTGACGACTTCGATCAGTTGTTTCAGGACTGTGGGGTCCCGCTCTGTTGTGTCTTCACTGCTGACACTGACGCATCGCCGCATCAGTTTGAAGTGAGTGACGCAGAGAACGGAGTGGAGGCTCTAGTGACAGCGGAACTCAAGAACAATGGATGTGCGGCACGCGTACATGTGGTTTCCGTTCCGATCAGTTCCAACTCACCGATGAATGAGCGGGTGGAGACCCTACATGGAGCGTTGAAGTGGGTTCGAGACAATGCGGTAGACCCAACTCGCTTGAGTAAATCTCCTGACAGTGTAGCTTCCGAGCTCAATGAGTGCGTAGCGCTCTCTTAGACGGGGAGACCTCCTGACCAGCGCGCGCCATCGGTTTTACTGTATCCCAATATCAGGAAACAAAATATATCATATATCTTGTTCTCAGTTACTCTCTACAGGTGAATGCGGCAACAGCGGCGCGCTGCGGGGGAGAGTAATTTGGCGGTGATACCTCAGCGGCTCAGCGCTGGCATGTGCAGCTCGAGTACATCCCGCTGCTACTTTGCGTCACGCCATCCGAGCGGCAGCCACAGCATTTGAGCCAGTGTTCACTTGCAGCTGAGCGGCGTGGCGAATAGCTGGGCAAGTGAGCGCAGCGACGTGTGTCACCTTCGACCTTGCAACTCGTGAACAAAAACTGGACATGACATGTGAGACAAGCAGAAGTGCTGCAGTGCACAGAACATGATTGAAGTCCTAGCAGTCTACAGCAGGGTCAGGCTTAATTGCAAGATGCTCTGTCGACATGAATAAGACTCAGGGAAACTGAACCCACCCATGAGCACATCATGCGCTGCATGCAACTACGGCAAGGCAGGGCTGGCGGGGCCCACCAGTTTTCAGTCTACGCGACATATGGCCATGAACTTTAATGAGGAACCCCTCGAAAGTGGTTGGACAAACCTTCTAAATGATGTCCACCAAGGTGTCCGCAACTCACATTGATACACACGATGGGCAAATAGTTTGGTTGGATAAGCAACATTTAGTACAGTTATAGATGGGATGCACATGATTAAGTTTGGTTGGAGATCTAAGCCGAATTCCGGGCTCTGTGAAGCGGAAGCTATGCGCGGCCGATGGGATGCCGCTGGCCAGGACAGAGGGGTCGAACCCATTGCCCTGGCCGAATCGGTGGCTTCCCATAGTTTTAGGGACTGGGTTGGTCTTTTTGAGGTTTCCCTCCAAAACGCCAGCCGGAGAGGGAGCCCTGACTTTTTAGAGACTCTTGGCAAACTGTACATCTTCAAAGTCTGCGGTGCAGATCTCAACTTGGACCTTGAAACAGGGAGGAAGAGCATTGTATGGCTCGGGGCAGATTGGGTGACGGTTTGCTTGAAGCTGGCATTGCGGTGCGCTCCTTTGAACCTGAATGGAGTTTTTCGGTTTGAAGCAGCTGCTTTGTTCTCCAGGTGTTGTCTTACTGTGGGTAGTTGATTGGCAGGACACTTGGGTTGCCCCCTTCTTGTCACTGGCACTTTGACTTGGACTGCGCAACCACGTCCAAAGGAAGGACTGGCCGAAGGGCCAGTCCTCCAGTTTGCAGGAGTCAAAGGCGGGCCAGGCGCGGGCGGGTGGTGCGATCGGCAGGGGACGTATCCGGACCCAAGATGCGCTCAACTTGGGCTTATTCATCCTTTGTGAGTTGGGGGTCGCACATTTCAACACTACACCACTTGAAGGGAATCCACAGACTTTGCCTCGCATGGGGGTCAATTGGCTGGAGCATGAAGTAGAACTGAAGTAGGGCTTGGCCTGCTGCAAGCCCAGTGACATGTTGGCTGCGACTCGTGCTTTGTGTTTGTTCGAGGGTACCCAGCTTTGCGGCTGTTCTCCTCTTTTTGAGAAACTTTGATTTCCTCACACTGTATGAATCCACTTGGTTGCTCAAGGACTGCTTCCATGCTCAGCGGAGAACAAAGAAAACAGCCGGCACAGGCAACCTGCTATTTGGAATTCATACAGGTGTTAGGCTAGATATGAGCTACCACTAAAAAAAGGGTTGGTACAAGGGATATGTATTGGGGGTGGAATCGGGGGCAAAACACCCCAAAACGAAGTCGAGTGTCTAAAACGAAGGATTCAATTGAGGAATTCCAGTTTGGCACGGGTTTGGCTGCGGCTCACAATTATGGATGTGTTTGACCTTCCCGTGTTTGTAGTTTGTTTCAGACAGACGCTCTGCAGAAGCTGGCTTGTAAGCAACGCCTTCCTAGAGTGTTGGCCTCTGGATCAGTCCGTTTCCATCATATTGTGATTGTCCAGCTGGGGCACTCTGTGTTTGCGCAGGGGCTTTCAGTGGCTTGCGACTTGGCTTTCCCTCCGCCGCCTGGATTTCTCAAGATGAATGTGATGAAGGGGCTAGAACATGTAAAACCACTCACAGCAAGAAGCACTTCCATTCCGAACCGCTGGAGGGCATCTCCAGAGGGCTTCACAAGGCGAATTCTATCGTTTTGGGTTATCGTTGATTCGATTTGAGTAAATGACACGCGTGAAACCCGTATTTCTTCAGCATTTGATTGAACAAAAGACGTGAAACAATGTATGCCTTCCGTCAAGGGCGTATGACACAAAAAAGCGGCCATACTGGGATTCCAGGTAGTCTCCACCACGTACCATTTGAGTGATTGATCCTTTGCTTTTAGCGTGTCGCGATGGCTCACATTGTTTCGGCTGGTTGAAGCCGTGGCTCGCAGCCATGCGCGCCCTGCCCCGCGCGGCTGCGCTGGCACGGCTGTTGCCGCTGGCTGTGGCGGCGCCGCTGCCGCTGGCGAGAGTCAGGCATCCAGGCGACGGCTGCGACCAAGTCTGGTCCATTTGAGGGAACTAAAAGGAGCTGGAGAAAAATATGAGAGGTGCATGAAGTGGGATATGCCTCAACCATGTCTGAAATTTTCTGCACTGCGGTCCGAATTGCTGGTAGTCCATGGGTTTTTTGGGACCTATGGGGGGCTTCCGGTCCCGAAGCCAGGCCTGGCCGAGGAGCTTCGGACGCCCTGCAAAAGCTCCGCCCACGCGGTGCCTGAGGCAGAGCCCGCCTCGCAGGAGGAGGTGAGCCGATTAGGGATGGAAGGAACCGGAAGGGGATGGCTAGGGGTTCCTGGGGGTAGGCTTATATAGAGGAAACCATATGGTCATTTTCCAGCAAGCTTCAGACCCAGCCGGGCTTTGTGAAGGACAGAACATGTTCATCTTGCTTACTATCTGGTTTGTACTCAGGGAATATGGGAAGAACTCCAGAAAGCAGGCAACAGATCATCCATGGATGGTTGGAAGGGGTGTAGTTCCCAGATTCCCTGCGAAGATGCTCCCAGTGCAGTGGCGCTCCTAAAATCCCTTATTGCTTCGCAGCTACCCTGCCAAGACTTGATGCCCACATGCGAAGGCTTGGTGGAGGGAAGCTAACCCTTGTGTACCTTGCCTGGATTGACGGATGGTTTGTTTTGAGATAGATAGATGCTGTAGGATCAGGTAGGCGTTTTGTTGAGACACCCATTGAACCACTGGGCAGGTGGAAGAGGTCCTGTCCAGAAACAAGACCATTCTGTTCATGAAGGGCACGCCGGCTGCTCAGCTGCAGGGCATACGACTTGTGTTTCAATCCTTTGCTGATCCCGCCGGTGGAGGTGGGCCAAAGCGTTTGAATAATTCGAAGCTTCCAATAAAGAACAAAAGCACACACATCTCCCGGCAGACTGATGCCTCCAGCTAGCTGCGAGCTGGAATGTGGCTACAGGGCAGGGAAGCCACATTTGCCTCTTGGGAGTCTGAGTTGCTAGCACCTAGCCTTGCTGAAAACAACTTGCGCTGAGTGGAATCACACACATAGGCCCCCCCCCCCCCAGAACAATTCGCCTCCATGCCGCTGCTCAGGACAAGCCGCGCTGCCGATTTTCCCGAGCAGACACTCGTCTGTTTGAAAACTTGTCGGGTGTATGGATGGTAGTTATATGTTCTACAGCACAGGGCAGCCTTTGCTAGCTTAGGATGTCACAAACGGAGTTGGTATGACCTGGTCAAGTCAGGGTGCAAACAGCTTTGTAAGTCATGTTTTGGATCTTAGTTGTTTTGTGCCTTGTGTTGTTTGAAACAGATGTTCTATGTTCCGCAAAGCATATGCCAATCGGATCATGTATGCTGTCTTCCTTGGAACTTATTCCTATCATCAACTTGACTAGCAGCTGATGCGCTCCGGAGATCCGTTGCTTCACTATGAAAGCGTTACAGTGAATCTGAAAGGCCTCAACACTCTAGGACGCGTTAAAAATCACAAGGTCTTGCCGCTAAATGGGGATACTGGGGGAAGCCCGAGACTGATGATTTTCCTTTAGTTTCCCTTTGACACCCAAAAGACCATCCTCGACAGAAGGCAGACAGATACACGGTTGCCGCGGCACAGGTAGATTGGGAAGACAATTGTTCAGGATTGCGTTTTCGTTCACTCTCACAAATCTCAGAGATGCAACAAATCTGGCCCCAACCAGTTGTCCCTGAGTTTTGGAAGTTCGATGTTGTCTCTACGTTTTAGGATGGGTTATGTTCTTTAGGATGGGCTCAGTTTTGCCTGACATTGCCCAACCGTGGACTCAACCTTGCAGGTGCCGAAGCTGGAGAGACCCCCTTTCGCTTGGTTTCAGACAGAGTCCGGAGCAATTCGACACTGAAAGTTCCCGGTCAGCGAGGACGCAATCCAAGTGTTTAGCCGGTGAGGTCAACACCGGGGCCTTGTGTGATTTCAGTTGTTGACACGGGCGGCCTTTGCTGAGGTGCCATCCGCTTGCTAGTTACAGTCTAGCAATGAACCGACGATTTAGCATGTATTTGCGTCTTTTTTTGAGGGCAAAGGAAAGCAACCCACTTTCAGGATACCCCTATTGTGAGACAAGATAGTTCGTAAAGGGCGCCCTTTGCAAAGGGAGCTCTTGGAACCAATGAATCAAAAAATGCTGGCTTCAGGCAGTAGAGATCCTTCGAGAACACCAAGTGGACTTCGACTACGTCGATGCCGCTCAGCCGCAAGGGGAAGACATAGTCAGTGGCGCTCATTAAGAGCCCCTACCCTTCCCCGAACCCTTCTTCGATCCGGGAGGCCTTTCCCAGGTTTTCTTCCCTTAATTAGGCTAGTGCTGAATTGACGCGTTTTCCTATCCATCAGCCATGCGATTATCAGAGCTGGAGGGTTTGTTCAATTTGTTATCCTTTCCTAGCCTACCCAGACCTTTCAGCTCTTCGTGTTCGTTTTCTTCTCTAATGCATGCGGAAATCATATGAGCTGGCTCTTGTGTAGAGCGGCAAACCCTGAGGTGAGGCGAACAGGAAATAGCTTCATCAGAGCTGGGCATGAGTCAATTCGACATTCAATTCGATCACCACCATTTCTCAGTCTCGCAGATGAGTAGTTCCATCAAGCCAATGTTGCCAGTGAAGTACATGCTTGACGAGTAAAGCGGAGCTCAATCCTTGCAAGCCTGCATTTTGAATTGACAGGGCACAGCACCCCAGCAACTTCAAAAACGAGGAAGTACTGTTGCGCAGGTTGAGCGGTCAAACTTTTACCCAGGAAGGGCTCCAAGGAACGGGGTCAGAGACATCATCGCATGCAACACGTGGCGTCCGTGTGTTTTGTTTGTTTGACTGCCATTCGATGGTGCTCACCCTCTCTGAATGGGTTTAAAGGGGGACCGAAAGGAAGACCATCCCTTGGTTTTTAGGGGGCGGGGCTTCGCCGAGTTTTCTTGACCTGTGAGGTCCTTGAGTGGCCTGCATTGCGGCTGGCGCTGCACTCACGGTGGCCCACTTTCCCGCAGCTGTACTCGGAAGGCGCCCGAGGGGCGCTGGGTGCCACGCCAGCACGGAGCTGAGTGCTCAGCCCTTGATTTTGGAGGGGGGTTCAACCCGGGGAGGGGGGAGGGGATTCCGCCGTGAAAATAAGCTTCATTCCTTTTTTAATGGCCACAGGAGGTTTGGTCATAGCTGGAAGTCAGCGTTGAATGTTCTCAAGAACACCCTTTGGGCTTCCAGTGATTCCATTGGCTGCTGAAGCTCGACAGCGCTTGGCTCTTTTGAAGCCGGTGGCCTTGTTCTGTGCCTGCTTTGTCTGGGTCTCCCAAACCTACACATTGTCAAGCATAGACTTAAACAAAAAGTAACGCAAAGGCAGCTAAAAGTGCAGCACAGGGCACCTTGCAACGCGGCTGTGAGTCCTGAAGGATGGCTCATGGGCGTGGGCTCTATGAGGCCTTCAGATTTGTTGGCAGATCATTGCAAGATGTGTGTTCTTTGCAATTGGAGCCAGGTGATGAAGGGATGAAGATGGTTTCCTGGAAACATTGAATAGAATCTCGAATCGATCAAGACAACTGAGCGGGCTGGATGCCTGGGCTTGCCAACAGCTTGGGCGTGTATCCGTTCAAAGGGCCCGGTGAAACAGAGCTGCGTGTGCACCTTTTGCTGACTGCCTTGCCCGTTCCCTCACAAAAGCAGCCTGCCACGGTTCCTCGTCCTTCTCAGTGGTCAAGGAAGCCAAGCCAAAAGTGAGTTGCACAGGTTCCGATCCTCTCAGGGTCGGGTGGGATTCTGTCACATTCTGCCAGCCACTCCATTCTTAGACGCGCAAGCCAGCCCTTTGCAGGCGTGCTTCTGGGGGGCTCAGATCAGCTGCGGGAGCTTTCACGCGCCTCTGGTGGCGAAGTTGTTTCTCCACTTCGGTGGCACCCGTTCTCATTTTGCTTGGGCTCCCACCACAGATGAACAACCGACAAAAAGAGTTCCCCGAAAAGTTTGCCAGAGTCACTGGGCAATTGGGGTTTCCTTTTTGTGGGTGGTTTTAATATGGCCTTTGAGGCAGATTTAATCAAGTTTCGGTTTCTCGTGATGTTCAAAGAGGACACGAAGGGAACCGGAACCCTATGCCATGGTGCAGGCTGACAAACAGAGAATCCCCCGACCTCATGTGAGGAGGGAAACGCCAGCCGGCCGGTGAGCAATTTGTACTTAGCATCGCGGGAGTGTAGCTGAGGGTGCGCACTAGCCCCATATTTCATCGGTTGCCTAGTGTGTTCCCCACGAATGGTGAACCCCAAAAAATCATTTTTGCTCGAGGCACTGGTTGCCTGAAATGATTGCATGTGAAGGCCTTGTCGTAGCCACGGGGCCCCGAATCAATCAAGAGTCAGTTGAACGTTGCTGTTGATTCTTGCCAGCTTTTCAGAGTGTGGGAAAAAGCCCACCAACCATTCCCTATAATGAATTGTGGTTGCAAGTTGAAAGCGGGGCATTCCCAAATTGCCTGCTAATATGCTCCCAATTGTTCAGTTGCACTCCTTTGTGTCTTCGGCGGTTTCACCACCGAAGCTTCCCCAAATGGAGTTTCCTCTAAGACTGATTTGCCAAGTGCACGCCTTTTCTGCATAGCAAGAGGGCCATTCGGAGGGCCGAGGCGCCGAGGGTCGGCTCGAGACAAACTCGAGGGGAGGGGGAGCTGCTGGACGCGCTGCGCAGCTCCACGGGCCGTGAGAAAGCCGCGCTGGCGCTGGTGCTCGCCGGCTAGCGTGAGCCAGGCGATTTGCATGGTCGCGGGGGGAGGTTGGGTTGGGTGTGGTAACAAGGGCCCTTGGGTTGCATGGATTGATCATCTGCTGACTTTTGAGGGAATTTGTTTGAGCCTCCCACAGACTGGCCCTGGGGCTGATTTGAGACTTTTACAACCACAATCTTTTAGTATTAGGGTTTGGGTCAACAAATTGGACCCTAAGTGTCCATGGGGGGGGGTGACGGAAGCATTTGTGTGGGTTGGGTTAGAAAAGGGGTGACCCCAAATGGTTTTGCTTGGGCTTCCCTGTAAAACAGCTCCACAAAAATAAAAAGGCAGCCTCAAAAGAGAACCGGCCATTTTTGGTTTGCGTCACCTGTTGGTAAGATTCGGCTTGAATAATCCAAGCCATGGTAGCAGGACAAAGTAGGATTAAGCGTTGACCACCGAACGGGTAGGTTCAGTCACTTTGGACCTTTGAACTTGAGAAGGCCTTGGCTGGTGCCCGATTCCTGTTTCTTCGGGTGCTTTTTGCTACTCAGGACCGGCAAAGGGCGCTTCCACCTCTTCAAGCTACTGCTGTCGCTTGTGCTGTTGCTACTTCCTCTACTTCCGCTGCTATATACTGTGTTGGAATGCTGCAGCTATGTCTGCCAGGTTTGCTTGCGCTTCCACTTCCTTCTGCATCCCATTGCCTCCACATGTTTTCTGCCTTGGCGTTGGCTTCCACTTGTCCTGCTGATAGTCGGCTATTCCTCATGCCTAGGCATTCGTCATTTGTGTCAGGAGGAGGGCATTCAGCAGAACATGCTCAAATCGTATATTCGCACGTTTGGGTTGGGTTGGTCATGAGCCATGCCCCATTGGCGACATCCGCGCTCGGAGGCTGTGTGCCCGCGGTTCGTGTGGCGAAAAGACCCTGGCGGCCGCAAAAGGGCGAAGTGTGCAGGTGAGCTGCGGGTGAGTGCAGCGCCCTTGGCCAACTTCTGCCCATTTGGCCCCAAGGAAAGTCCCAAGATTTGGACTGGACGGGTTCCCTGGAAACCGTGAGGAAGCGAGGTAGACATTTCTGAATCAGGCACGCCTCAAGTTGCCAGCGGCTGTATTTAACGAACTTGATGTGCCCTTTTGGCATTTGCAAGCAGAGAGAGTCATGAATGGCTTGTTTTGTCCAAACAGTCTGAACATTTGGGTGTCGGATTCTTGCAAACATCGCCAGCATGGGGTTGGGGCACTGGAACTGCACGGAGCCAGCAGAGAGCCAGACTAAGAGCGAACACACTCGCCTCCGGTCTTCGCGGAGGGGCTGAATGCCCAGCACTGGGCCGTTCTAGCAATCTACAGGTCTGCAAAGCACAAACATTTGTCTCACAGGGTTTTGGGGAGAAGAAGGGTGCTGGAAAGTGACGCACAAGCTGTGGTGGCCCTCCATGGACTCCATGGAATTCAGTTTTGCAATCTCAAGCGAATCCTGCTTGATGTGAATGTTTGTACCTGAAGCGAGCCGTTTGCGTGGGCATTCTGGGCCATGCAGCATCAATCTGGCTTTGAGCTTGTTTCTGAGATGGCCGTGCTGCTGAAAATGGCACCATCCGCCTCAATGGAACTCCCTATCCCTCATTGCATTCAGTTTCCTGTTAGGTTCGTACATTCTACGCCCGCATTGGCTCAAAGCCGGCTCCCTGCCCTTTCGCCCATCAATCATGGCTCTCGCATTCCTGTCCGCCGCGCCCGCCAGCGCGCCCCTGGCCCCGCACGCCGCGCCGGGCACAGCGGGCGCAGCCCGGCCCGCCGGGGCCAGCGCGACGAATGCGGCGCTCGGCGTTTGTGGCGCGCTGGCGGCGGCCGTGGTGGTGAAACGTACGGCCCGCCGCGCACAGGAGATGGCGACGCTGCCCAAGCACATGCAGCTTAGCTGGGGCCTTTTGGGGGTTGAGTTTAGGCTCGGACCAGGATCAAAACATCATTTCTTGTTGGGGGCAAGGGCTGAGGAAGTTATGTTTAACCGGGCGTTTCTGAGCACCAAGTCGACATGTAGCTAACCAGACGTTTGGAGTTTTCATGTTATTTTTTGGCATGTATGCGATTTGCAAACTGGCGTCCTTGGCCTGACCAACAACCACAAGGTATTTTTGTTTCGGTACTGCCTCATTTTAGAGCCCCGTAAGGGTTCTACTTTGGGCGCCATATAGATATATATATATATATGTTTGTGTGTGTGTATCTACATTGATGCACTCACCGCGCGTATTTTGCTTTGTGTCGTTGTTCTTGTTCAAATGCACGAGGTTGTAAACATTGTAAACCACATGGTCTGTCTTCAGGAGCATAGTTCTCTCTCGTGCCACTCCTTGCAAAAGCAGCATTTCTGTTGGCCGCCCTGCACATGTGCGAGCGTGTGCCACCATTTGCCCAATCCAATCAATCCAAGCTTCTGACCGAATGCTTCCAGGCAATCTCATTTTAAAGCAGCCAACTCTTTCCCTTGACAAGTTTTGGATGTTTCGCCGATGTGTGCGGACTATGTTCCGAAATGCCAGGGAGTTGTTTGTTGCGTGCGCAAAATGCTCAATTTCCGAAAAACGCCTGCGCAGTGCCTTTTTGAGCGGGCAGGCATGATAGGAAGCAAGCCTGATTGATTGACTTGGGCTAGAGCTTTTGCTCTTTGGTTTGCGCTCAGTTAGACGTGCTTCTGGAAGGCCGCCTCTGTGTGATTTTGAAGCAAACAAGGCAACTCCGCATGTTCAGTCAGCACAACGGCATGTTCTCCTCAAGCCACGGTCCATTTAATTCGTTGAAAGGCTGGCCAAGGGGGCCGGCCTGGCCTTGGTCGCCGAAAATTCCAAGGCAGCCGCTGGACACCGCCAAGTACCGCACCTACGCGCCAGGCCCATCGGGCGTGCCCAAGCTCCCGCAGCTGGTGGGAGACTGGGGCGTTCCGGTGCCGGGAAGCTACAAGGCGCGATGGGTCTCGGACTGGCCAGACTCGGGCGGCAATGCCTGTAAGTGCCATATAAGTGCAACATTCACATTTGAGCCGCAACCAAAACTCCTTCAAATTTTGATGGCGGGCCACGGGGCAGAGTGGGCAAAGTCTCGCGAATGTTTGAGCTGAAGCTTGCGCGTCCACCCCATGAGGGCAGGTATACGTAGTAAGCATTTCCGCAGAATGTCTTGCAGGTGAGGGTTGTGGATTTGGTTGCACGCAAGGTTTCGTTATTATCCAGAGATGACAACATGGTAACCCGGTAAGACGAGAATCCACTGGAATCCGAATGTTGCCTGGCTTCCTTGGCAGTGCCAACCCCCCTCCGGTGAGGCCTCCCTCACTATGGTTGGCCCAGACGTGGAGACGGCCTGCGAAGTGGGCAAGCCCTGGGACCCCCTTGGCTCCACAGCAGGGGTTTCAGCTTGATCCAGCTTGTTTTTGTACCAATGGTTTTTTAACGGTTTCAGAAACTGGGGAAGTGGGTCTGTCTTGTTTTGAGGGTGCCCGTCTTAGGGCGGGTTACAGGGAAACCAAAAGGACAAATCGGGATTGCCCGTGAATGAGGGGATGACTTTGCTGGCATAATACATGGGGCCAGTTTTAGGGTGGTTGGTTTGGTGGACCTGTCCAGTTCTCGCAAGACGCGCGGCAGAGATGGTTCTCGCTTTCGAACAGGTACTGTATGCAGAAGTTGTAGATTCGGAGTTCCCGCACTATGTTTTATGTGGTGCCCTGTAGCAGGTTGATTGTTCTAAACTTTTGAGGTTGGGCATTGTGCCCGTCCGACATTGCGGTGCGTACCATATTTATGTGACTCGACAGAGTCCTGATGGACGTTTTTTGTGCCGCTGTTTGGTGGAGAGACTGTTTTGCTTGTATGAATCAGGTTGGTGCGTGGCTAGCCGTGGGTTGGAATTTGCAGACTACCTCGGACTCAGCTTGACATTTGCAAGTGGGTGTGTGTGTGTGTGTGTTTTTGCGGGTATCCTCTTCACTTTGGTTTGAAGAGACCCAGGTCGAGAACCTCTGTTTAACACTCCGAAATGGTCCCAAACCTATCGTTTCCTTGTTGTCGCAACTCGCCGCATGGACCAGTTGGCCTGTGCCGCGCTGCTATTGGTTGACTTGGCTTGCCTGGTTGGTTTGGTTTGCTCGCTTGCTTTCCCTTAGGCAATTCCCGTTGTGGCACATGCAAACCTTGTAGGTCGGTAGTACGCTGACCTCGTCCTCTATATAGTTTTACTCGCCCTGAACACGCTGCCCAAACTCGTCTCAGACTTCTTCGGCAAGAGTCTACGTTCAGTGACCTCCTTTTCTTGCCTTGTGAGGGTTCCTCACTATGGGTCAACCCACCCCGAAAAGGGTTCCCTTTTTCTGCCAGGCTCAGCCATGTACAGTAAGTGGGACGTAGCTGAGGCTTCAGCAAGCTCTACGACCGCAACTTTGACTTCAACGGCGACTCAGTAGCACTCAGCGTTCAGGCTGTATACTTAGTTGCCCAAAGTCGATCTTTTGACCCTTCGTTTCCATGGTTTGGTTGAGGTTTAGTAAACACGTTGCAGCAGGTTGATGTTTTATTCCAGGTCCTTTGGGCAACGGACCGGTAAATTACGCTTTACTTCTGGCTAAATTGGTGGAACCCAGCCGGAGTTCTCCAAAATGGCCACAGATTGGTAGACCTACAAGCATGGCAGAAAGTGGTAGGATCATATTTGCCTTGATCATGTTTTAATTTGTTTGTTCAGTTGTGTTTGGATTTGAAGGCAGAGAGACCAGTTCTGGTGGTTTGGCTATGGGGGTGGCATTCTGATGCCTTGTTGAAGCGCACGAGCCTTCCCTCTTGCTTGCGTTTCAGTTTGGCGTCGGCCATTCCAGCCAAATCCGTAGTAGTGCATTCACGCGCTTGGCTCACACTTTTGATGACCAGTTCGGAGGTATAACAGCACTGCTGAGCCCTGATCTGCCGTGATCGTTGTGTTTTGCAGCCGTGTCATACTTGCTTTGCCTGCCACATTTGCGAGCCCACCATTCGTGGAGTTGAAGGAACTGATTGCCTCCTTTGACCCTGGGAGCGGTCCATGCTTCCTTTCGACTCGCTGAGAAAACATGACCTACCCCCACGTGCAATGGCTCCGGGAGTCCGAGCTCAAGCATGGCCGTTGCGCTATGCTGGCCATCGTGGGCATCTTTGCGCAGCAGTCCTTCCACATCGATGGGTATCCGGAGGCAGGCACCTCCATTGTGCCGCACTATGTTTGCCCTGAGCTGTGAGAACGTGCCCGAAGCATGCATCCCTGACACGGCCCAACCAGAGCGCGATGGAATATATTAGCACCTGTCACGATGCGTCCACGCACGTGGACGCAGGTGAAGACCGAGCTCAAACCTCCAAAGGCCTAGAAACCGCAGCTTTTGTTTTGCGCATTGCACCTTGAGACCCTGGAAGGCGCCTTGGTACGACGCCCTGAAGGCATGAGGGCTCGTGATTGGGGGGGGGGTGTGCGATGGCGGAGGCCAGCGAGGCCTGCTCTTTGCAACTCTTGCTGTAAGTTGAGCTGATCATTTATGAAAAGGGGACATAAAGTGTCTTGTATTCACGTGACCGCTGGGCATTTGTGAAGAAAGCACGTGATTGAACACCTTCCGATTTCGGGGCTTGAATCTTCAATGTGTTGGGATGCGGAGCTTGGGAATGAACTTGAGGAACTATGCTTGGGTGAATCACAACCGCAAACTTCAGCCTCCACCTTATGCATAGATCCGGATTGCCTTGGCACCAACAAGGGCGGCATGTTTCATTGGCCTTGAAAGAGGTGCATCAGCTCGCGGCATCAAATCATGACTCGAGGGTGCTTGCACCTACACGGAGTGTATGCGATATTAGGTTGGTGGACGATGGGCCGTGAGGTTTGCCACTTGTTTGATTGACGCGGGCTAGTAGACAAGTCAATCATCCTTGGCCGTGTGCTCGCAGAGTCGAAATGCACCAATGGATTGTTTGTGGCAAACCCTTTGCTTTGTGTTGCTGCACTTTCCGATCTTTCCACTGGAATATATCAATCAGGAAAACCAGTTGGAGGTTCAGAAATGCCAACAAATATGAAGCATGGCGTTCAGGAGGATCTGGAATCTCGCGAGGTTGTGGAACGGGGAAGCTCGTTTCAGGACTGTTTGTCTTGCACGGCAGGTTTGCTATGACAACCCCGGGGGCATCGTGGGCTTTGGCATTGCACAGATCTCAGCCTTCGCCATGGTCGTTGAAGGCCGGAAGGGATGAACATGTCACTGGCTCAAATGTTGCCCTGTCCGTTTAGATTTGATTTGAATTTGGGATGTCAGAGAAGTCAGAAACGTCAGAACGGAGAATGACCAATGCGAGCAGATCGCCAGCCGTTCATGCTGTAGCAAGCCGACTTCTGCACAACAGCTTTCAGCGCAAGAAAGAAGTCCTTGCTGTGAGAGTCTACCTCCCATCAGTCCAGGAAACGCTGGACCCTCTCTTTGGCCTTTCTGTTGAATTCGGCCTTGCCAGGTCATGTTGCTAACGTCAGACACTGGACAGACCAGGCTTGCACCAAACCCAGCTGCAACCAGAAATCACCACAGAGATCCAAGCCACAAAGCTCTATCGCCTGAGCCCGCCAATTGAATGATATCAATCCAAAAGGGATAGCACTGGAGAGAGAGAGAGAGAGAGAGAGAGTTAAATATTGTTTAGAGAGTACATTTCACCTTCCAGAGCCTTTGCTGCTTTCGTGACCCGCATCAATCTGACTGTGTCATGCAACAGTGACGGCGTGTTGGCAGATTTGGTCGGCTTCTTAGCTCAGTTTGCAAAATGGGGCCGCGTTTTCCCTGCAGTTTACAGCACCTGGAGTTTCGATCCCGGCCACGCGGCGCTCACGTCGGAAACGCGCGCGAGGCAAGTACTTCCCCAAGGACTCCTGGATCGGCCAGATGGACCGCGAGCCTGGGGATCTGGGCTTCGACCCCCTGAAGCTGGCGAAGGACGCGGAGTCGATGAAGAGCATGCAGCTCAAGGAGTTGAAGCGCCTCGATCTGGCTGACTGGGTCCAAAGCCCCTGGAAGCGCTTTCTCATGTTATTGGATCTCGCCACTCCCCCCTTGCCCCCTGTTTTGTTTGGTTTTGCGAAAACACAAAGCTGCCAGAATGGTCATCCACCGAGTAAGGGAATCTGTATGAAATTGCTCAGGGCACTTGTTGGTTTTGTCAACTAGACCCTGCCCAATTATCCTGAAAGCGCTTGTCAGAAAGCCTTCAGAGGATTTGCATTTGACATACTGGATAGGTTGATGTGTTAAATGTAGGACCCCAGCCGACCTTGTGGGCTCCAGGCCATGGAGAAACAAGCTTGCATCCATTAGGCTGATTGCCCGACTCGTGCTGAACAACGGGCACTCAATTCGATGTAGAACATGCTTCTGTCAAGCGAGGCTGCTAGCTTGAGTGCTTTTGGGCGAGCGTACCCGAGATGAGTAAGGAGCTCTCAAAACCTGTGGCCCTTGCAACTATCCAAAAAGGCGTTCCATGGCGTTCCCATCTTTTTTGACGGACTTCAGCTGGTAGCTGCCGGTGGGATGAAGCGGTCGAACTTGCACACGATCAGCATAAGTCAACCTCTCCTCCGCGAGGGAAGGCGGCCTGGCCACTGCTTCGCTTGGCCGATGTTGTTCTTGACACAATTTGGATGCCAAAGGTTCTCACCAGTTCAGACCGCAGGTTCAATAGTCCTGTCCCAGGTTCAGGGGCTGGTAGTTATAGTTTAACGGCATACATGGTCCTTCTTGCATGACCAGCCCAAGCGGTAGCCCTGCCTAAGTGTATGTAGGTTGCTTGTTTTTTCCCCAACCCCCGCCCAAAACCTACCGAAAACCCTCCCAAAGTCCACCCAAACCGCAAACCCCCCAGCCCAACCCCCCCACAACCCTCCCTAGACAAGCCTTGCAGTCCGTTTCTTCCGAGGAACGGACGCCTTGCCATGATGGCCTTCATGTCCTGCGTGGTGGGTTGCGGGGCAAGAATTGAAGATGGATGAAGCTTTGCTGGGTGCTACATAGCCCATATGTAACGCTTAATTGTCCACAAAATATGGGCATTTCATTTGTCCACACCCCCTGCTTCACCGGTTTGTTTAAATTCAATTGACCAAAGTGAATCAATCCTGGGCCCGCTTAGTTGTCCAGCCATGTCCTCACATAGGAACAATCTCGTGTTGTATTTGCGAGCTTGGGGCCAGTGCATCCACGTTTTGTCTAGCTTGAACCACTGCATGTGGCCAGCTGCCTGCTGAAAGCACCAGGGATTGATTGGGACTCGAATTGCTGTGCGAAGCATCGGGATGAAGTTCAGCGGGGTAGTCAGGTTCCAAAAGTAGACAACTCAGAGAGGATGCTTGCGTGACAGGTATTGTGTAAGGGTGGGGCCACACACCAGTTCCACCAGATGATTTCTCATATGATGAGTTGTTTTTTGCTTGGACATTTGGCTCGTGCTTGCTGGCTTCCTTTGATTTGTGACTAGATAGGCTAACTCCTGTTTAGCAGACTTGCGTGGCAACACACACGTGACCCTATTACTGTTCCTTGGAGATTGCCAGGCGTGGGTCATTTCCATTCCAACCCAACCCAACCAGCCCAACCAATTTAACCATACCCAACAAACTGCCCAGGTCTGTGTTCTATGAATTGAATAGCGAACACCCTCGAAAATGGCTAGCGGGCAAATCCCTCATGCAAGGCAGCCCACCAAAGGGTTGTCCAATTCGATTTCACACTGGAAAGGCGCAGAAACTACACATGTTTGCATCACTGAATTTGGTTTTGCCCCGCCCCATGCCTTTTGTTGGCCCATTTGCCAATTGTCAAAGGTTTGATTCCCCATTCTCTTCAGCCATCGTCCTCTTTAGAGACCACCCATGCCTCAAGGGAGGGGCCCCCATTTTTGAAGAGAAAGTTCAGGGTACAGCTAAAATGAGCCGAGGCCACTACCTGCCGGGCAGCGTGCCTGGGGTCTCCGCCTTGCCCCAGCCGAAGACGCCGACGGCTTCGCCCGGCGCCGCCTTCTGCGGCTCCACGGCCGCGCCGGCGGAGACTTCGTCCTTGACGGCGGCGAAGTACACCACGCAGACCATCCTCCCATCGCTGGCCTGGATCAAGACAGGCCGTATTATATATATATATATATCATTGCATACCACAGTGTAGGTGTGGATGATGGGGGGGTGGGGTGGCCATAAAAAATAGTGTGTATATATATATATATGTATATATATATATATATGGTTTTTTGAGGGTACCTTGTTTTGTTTGAGTTTGAAAGAGGAGCCACAAAGAATACCACAATTCCGGGTGGGAGAAAAGCGGCATGGGCGGGTTTTTTTTAAAGTGGGATTCGGTGCGCCCTTTTGGTTGGTAGAAATTGTTTCGGTGCCAGACACTCAGTGGACTGCGAGCCCTTTTTGCAACCAATTTTTGGAGGGGTGGGCCCGCTTGAATTCGGCCCAAAAAAGAGTGCCCTTCTCTTCTGAAGAGCCACGCACCCAAAAGACAAAAAGGAACAGGCCATGTAAAAAAAGGCTGGGTCCCAGGCTCATGCGATGGACTCGAAGGAACACGGTACCCGAGCATGATTGTTAGCCAAATGGTCTGAGCCGGGTCCAAGTGGCAAGTTATCAACCATACATGGCTGAAAAGCCAAGCTTCTTGAAGTTTGCCAGTCATCGTGCAGCTTGTTTAGCTCCAGGGCTTGTCCAGCATGCTTTGCGTGAGCATCATGACTTGTGCCAGGCATCACTGCATGACATCATCATGCCATAAATGGCTGTGTCTAATTTTAGGGGACCCCAAATTGGTGGTGTTTTTCCCCTTCAAAACCAGCAAAAATGGGTACCCTCAACACAGACACCCCCAAAGAAGTTTCAACGCGTTGCCAAGCCCAAGTTGCCAAACGTGACAGTGCTGATACTGTACTGATCCACGTGCGCTCCAAGAAGGCCCCGGTAAAATTCATGGGTCCACAGTATGTTTGTCAAGACATCGAGTGAAGATGCGGCGGCGGTCTGTGGGCAATGCGGCAATTGAGCAGCTCTAAAAACCCCCCGTTACATCCCAAGCAAGACTTGTGTCATAGCAAGGCCCCGCCTAAGCAAAACCCTGCGCGGCGTAAGCCGGCGTAAGCACTTTTCTGGGAAACATGCCGCGTAAGCACCTGCGCAAGCTCTTCTTCGTGATTGCTTGGTGAGCTTTGTAAGCATGCTCGGAAGAGTGGTTTCACACATGTGCTTATGTGTTTATTGGTGGCTTGTGCTGTTTCAACCAAGTCGAGCTTGGCAACTTGCCCGGAGACTTTGGCTGCAGGAAGACGTCTAAGACCGCATGTGCGCGCCATTAGAGAACAAAACCAGCATAAATTTGATTGGGAGCTCTGGGGGCTCATGCTAAGTGCTGTTGAGACCTTTACGAGGACAAAAAAAGGCTTCTGAAACCGCGATTTAGGAAAACTAAAGGTGCTCGGCTGCGTAAGCTCGCGTAAGCAGGCGCGTAAGGTTCGCGTAAGCTCGCCTACTCGGCTGCCCACTAGCCCTCGCCATGGATGCCGCTGTCGCATAACCCGTTCTTGACTTGCAGCAAGAACAGCAAGGCCAAGCCGCTGAAACTCGCGAGGGTAATTCTTCTTCATCTTCTTCCTCGGAGTCATCCACATCATCTTGAACAGTTCCGGCGGCTGCATGAGAAAAGAGCCCGCGCAAGCAATTCTTGAGGGGAAAGGCTCAAAACGCAGACGCGTAAGCGATGCGTAAGCTTAACGTGCTCGCTGACAGCAGCGTAAGCTAAAACATGGGTCGCGTAAGGAACGCACAAGCTCGCGCGTAAGCAACTTGATACGACATAGGGATTCATGGGAGGTGTATAGAGTCGCTCAATTGTCGCCACGTTTCTTTCAAGAGTCGGACTCGCAGCCAGCACCACTGTGCAACTTCAGCGATATTTCAGGATCTGAAGCAACTAAAGGGCCAGGGATCATGACCAGCACACTCGAATAGACACAAGGGGTGAGTGACTAGGGGCCATCAGTTGTCTTTAGCTTGTTTGCGAATTGCCGTGGCTAGGTAGCTAAAGCCCTACACATGGTTTCCTTGCATCCTGTTGGGATTGCCCAATCGCTGGCACCGGGAAGTATCCCAAAACGTAAATTTAATGTGCATGAGAGGCTTCAATATCGCAATTGTTTGACCATGGGCTGACAAGCCTCGAAGGGATGTGTTGGATGTCTACCACTCCCATTGATTGGGAAACATGCCGTGATGAGATAGCAGAGTGGCCTCAATGCCTTTCCAGTACTGTCTTCGTGGGTGCCTTCCGCGCATGAATCATCGTGCTACAGCATGTGCATATCCCAGCCATCAATGGCATTCGTTTATGGGTGATTCTGAGTGGGGCCTTGGATGCAAACCTCGGTTTCCTGTTTGCTTCGACCTGGGCAAACCTAAAGACAAGTTGTTTTGGAAGCCAAAAACTTCATAAACCATAAGGTAAACATAATTTCAGGACCAACCAACCATGAGGTGGGGGGTCCTCGCCCGGGGTCCGCCAGTCGCGGTTCGGAAGGCGTGAAGGCGTCTGAGCTGCAGCCCACAGAGCTGCGCGCGCTGACGCTGGCGGGCAATGATGTGCTCATCGGCAAGACCGAGGCGTTTGGCCGTATTCATGGTACACTCCCGCAGACTAACATGGAAGCTCCCAGAAGGCCTCTGCAAATGGAACCAAGTCTTCCAAAGGGTCCTGAGAGCTTCCGTGTTAGCCCTGAAAACACATATGTTACATTGTATATACGGCGATTTGTATGATCGTTGTATAGACGTCGACTGGGAGTGAGTGTTTGGTTAAGATGTGTTGGTTGGTTGTGAATTGTGTTGGGATAGGTTGTGGTTGTTCTGATTGCGTTGTGTACCGTCGACTTGATGGATGGCCAGCTAGCAAGTGAGGTGGGTGAGCGGGGATCAGTAACAGGCAGGTTGCTTTGCCTGAGCATCAGCAATTATCCCCAGGGAGTAGTCCCGAAGGTTATGGGGAATTGGCATTAGTTCCTTGAGGCCCCCGGCACAGCCAGCTGAGGTGGGTCTAGACTCAGGGAGAAAAATTAAGTGATTATGGCGATCGCATGGGCCTATTCTTGTTTAAAGGAAGGCAGCGAGGAGGGATGGCTAATGTTGACGCCCCGGAGAAAGACGGCATGTTGCATGCGGTTAGATGACTGCCCCTGTGTCCGAGGAAGCCAGGCTTGGCCCAACGGAGCCCCAGTCCCAAGGAAACAAATGGATCAATCTCAGGAACACATTGCAGATGCGGATCCTAGGAGCTTTGGGCCGTTGTTTGGCTCTCAGCTCCAAAGGGCTGGCGAGAGGCCGGCTTTTGTGACCTTTGAATTTGTTGCATAATGGGGAATGCTAGCTGTGTCCATGGCATGTCCAAGGGTCAGCCCAGTTCTTGTCCCACTCTCAACTTGGGTTTCTCGATGTGGGGCTCTGGCAGTAGAAATTGAATGAAATCGGCGCTTAAAGTCCGGAGACGTTCGCAGGATTTATGGGCGAACCTCACTGCTTGCCGCTTGAGAACGGAGATGTTTCTAGGAGCATCAAGTTGGTTTCTATACCTTCTGCCCTGTTCAAACCAGTCAAAACAACAGGGCTGTTCATTTTGACTTATATTTCTGCTCATGCCCGTCAGGCTGTAGCTTGTGAAAGCAAAGCTTTTGTGCCAGGCGGGCGCACTGTTCTGCGTGGGGAACCTGTGCCCACACATTGGCACGCCTCTTGGCAGATGCCAAAGATGCACCGCACTCGCTTTGCATATTTGGATATAGACTGTCTAATGATGTTCCCCTTTGCTCCGTGGCTCCACTGCAACTATACAATTGGAAGACAGAGGCAGGCTTTGCAGCCAGCGTGAGCCCATACAACATACTTCTCAGGCGATGTTCATACAGAAGTAATTCAAGCAGGTGGCAGGTAGAACGTCAAAACGGGGCCGGCCTTTTCGTCCACTGGGCATTATGGCACTAGACTTTATTCGGTACTTTTCTCTTACATAGGAACCCACTGTTGGCATTGTTCACGAGGAACCAACACAATATCCATCCTTTGTGGAGCATCTCTGCTTTTGTTGCACCAGCAGCACTTAGCCGCATCGGCCTGCCTTACTGAGCGAACATGTGGGCCTTTTACTTACCAGCTTAGGTGTTAGGCTGCTGGGAGGGGGTGATTTTGACGAGTTCTGATTTACGCATGACCGCAGTGGAAGAAGGGGGGTGGACAATCCCATGTTAAGCTAGCGTCTAGATTCAGATCGGTGTCCAATCAAACAGCGCCCTGATTTCATGCGTTTGTTTTGGCAGGCTGAGTGGGACACCGGTCGGGGGCACAGCCATGTTGGACATGTCACTGTTTGGGCTTAACAGGTACGCAGTTGGCGTGACTTGGCGCTGATTTTTGCCTTTTCAGACGCTGGGAGCCTTTGTTTTGCTCAAGGCCCATGAGCGAGGGTGCGGACGTCATCGGCGACGTGATTGTGTGCCCTTTGCACGGCTCCTCTTTCCAGGTCAGCAACGGGCAGCTCATTGACTGGTGCGTCTCCCCGCCTTTTGGCTTGCATTCTTGGGGATGGAGGCTGTTCTATGACTTCAATGGCGTGTGCTTGTTGGCAAGATGGTGGAAAAGGTGGCTGGCTTTGCGCAACCACCTCACCTTGTTCTTGTTACTTGTTGCAAAGCAACACTCCCCAGGCCGATTATCGGCCCCCTGACCGGCCTCATCGTGGAGAAGAAGAACCTGCTCGTTTTCGAGTGCCGCCAGGTCTGGGTGGCGAAACAGCGAGGAAAACGCCAGTACCACGCAAAGCGACTTCGAATGTTTTTTTATTTGTTTTGATTCTTTGTCCAAGCTGCCAGCATGATCAAAGGGTTAGCTGGATGGTTGGCAACCCCTGTCAAAGGGGTTCACAGGGGGTTAACCGGGGTTCAACTGGGGATGAAGTGGGGCTTAACTGGGGCTTAAGTGAGGGGTACCAAACCACTTACCTAACTTCCAGACCGCCCAAGTGGGCACAATGGCGCCGGCCTCAGAGCGGTCTGGACCCTGAGGGCGGCTTCCTGGGCAGCGGAGAGGTCGAGGTGCTGGTGGACACCAATGCCAAGAAGGCCTACGAGGCGAACTACTGGAAGGGCCCCTCGGAGAAAAGGACACCTCCACAGCTGTCCCCCCCCCCCCCGCCGCGCCTCAAATGACTGCTGTTCAGACACCCTGTTGCCACAGAGCAAAACTGTGTTTCGTTATCAATCAGAAAGCCCAGGTTTCGCTCAAAACTGACTCAACATCTTTCAAAACCACAAATCTGGATTCTGGTAGTTTTGACACGGGAGTTTCAAAATTTCGCACCAAATCAAGACCAAGCAGAAAACAAGTTGGCAAGCAGTCTGAACATAAATGCTTCAAGTCATGATTGGGCCCACCCCCTCCCCTCCACCCCGCCTACCAAAGTCCAAGCCAACCACCCAATCTATGGCTTGTAATGAAATGATGTACATCTAGTTGCTGACCATGTGTTGTCGAAAAAAGGGCCCATCCTAGTTGGCAAAATCAGCTCGTTCATCAATGACTGCGATACCACATTCCCAGAGCAGCAGTTAATACCATCGACCGACGATGCAAACAGCAGGCACGGCGACATAAGGAACAAAATAGTCACAAGCATGATTCTCCCACGATCATTAGGTAATTCAGTTGCATAGCACCGCACATCCCCACTCCCAGTATTTAGGCACTAGCAAGCTTCAGTTTTGCCAGGGGCAAACTGCCCGTTTGAGTCTTCACGAGTTGTTCGGACAACTCATAAGAAGCTCGTTAAAATGAAACACAACGAAACTGGATGCTTGCTTTGACATTGATGCGCCTTGACCAGAGCAGTGGCGGTGTACCTTGGGGGGGGGGGGCACACCCTCTCTTTATTCCACACTGCTACATGGCATGAAGATGCCGCCCTGCCTGCAATTGGAATTGGCTGCAGAAAAGTGGGCCAGGTCTTGTAGCTACTGTCTTGCACCCAAGCGTGGGGTTCAAAGCTTGCCCTAAGCTATGAGCTATCTTAGGTAGGGGCTGATCTGTGGGTACCACGTCATGGCTGATTGTCAGAACAAATGCACGAGAGTCGCTTTTGCCGAGGATCCAGATGTTCTGATAGCCATTCACTGAGGGCTAAGTTCTATTTGCCGGACCGAGGACTTCTTGATGCGCAGGGCAAGGATGATGGCACCTACTACTGAGCATACACTCCGCGCGCGGCCGAAAGTGGCCGCGTTTGGCGAGAGGAGCCGCGGATACTTTTTTCATCTAGAAAAAGAGCGCGCTTGATGCAGAAGGAGCAGGTGGGCCTAATATTTTGTCCCTGGGTCAATTCAGAGTGAGCTTTGATTTTTCTAAGGCAAGAAGCAATAAACAACTTTGAGGGGTCGCCGGATTTCAGTTGTGGTTCCACGTAGTAGTAGTAGTAGTAGTAGTAGTAGTAGTAGTAGTAGTAGTAGTAGTAGTAGTAGCAGTAGTAGCAGTAGCAGTAGCAGTAGCAGTAGCAGTAGCAGTAGCAGTAGCAGTAGCAGTAGCAGTAGCAGTAGCAGTAGCAGTAGCAGTAGCAGTAGTAGTAGTAGTAGTAGTTCTAGTATGCAAAGCCATTGGATACGGCAGTTCAAGTGTGCTTGGACTAAATCAGCAGGAGGAGGGGAACATATGCATTCCAATCCGCCAGGCGCCGCGCAGCTTGCCCATTCCGGCGGAGAAAATCGAGCAAACACGCCTGAAGCAGTTGGGGTTTGTTGAAGTCTCATCCGAAACTATTTTGTATTTTAGAGTTGGCTGAGTATGAAGCAGAGTGATCACATGTTGTTGTTTTTTTGTGTACCCCAGGGGCCAAGTCTGGGCCCCTTTGTGAGTGCCAGATCACCTTGCTTTGGATATTCCTCCCCCCCAAGAGAAAAAAATCTGTCGGGTGCGACTTCTCAACCCTCATCCAGCCCCAAATAAGCGAGCATCAGGCGGATTTGGAGCGATTTGATTTGCGCGGGCCATTTCTTGGCCGTGAACTGGACAGGGGCTCGAAACCCCTAGCCATGTGGCAATGTGGCAATAGATCTTGGCAACGTTGCGAAGAAGTTGAGCAGGTTTCTCATTTTGGGAACTAAGGCAGATATTGCAGCTCTTAGCATTGTCAGTTGCTTTTTTCGTAGGTGAAAATATTTCTTCTTTAGTTCGGCTCATGTTGAAATTTCAATGCTGTGCAGGTGCTTTGCCTGCATGCATTTTTGCCACATAGCGGTGTGCTCATGGCAGATAGCACGCCGCTGGGGGTCCCTGTTTCTTTGACACTCTTCACGGTTGCAGCTGTTTGCGCTGGATTCAATTTGGCAGGCATCCTTCGGTGCCCAAATCCATCGACGCCCAAAGCCAGCAAATTGAGATGATCCCGTATTGCAGTTGCTTCGTTGAAAGGCCCTCAAGGTTTTTCGGCTCTCACAATCTCTCACCTCAGGGCCCTTAAACTTTACCCTGACTCCTGGTGGAGTTCCTACAGACTCATCGCGGCTTCCGGAAGTCCGCTAGAGGATGATGCAAGACATGTTGCATGGTTGCACTAGAATACGTATTGCCCGGCTTAAATTATCCTACGCTTTCCCTGCACCAGTACTTTTCAAAGGGCCATGCGATCACCCATGATCACCCATGGAAGTTTAATTTTGGTTCGAGGAAGCAAGATTTGGTTTTCATGTTTGACTCAGTGCTCCCGCCAACGCCAGGAAGCTCGTGACAAACCTTGCAGCTGACGAAGTGCACTGTGCCTTCCATTCGGTCTGAAATGCAGGTTCCGTTTGAAAGGAATTTTTCTGTGACCTCAAGTACTTCTTATGTTGACCCCATATTTCGTAATCAACCCCAGTTTACTCATGAAGGGGTGTTCCCCTCCAAAAGTGACGATTCCCCACTAAACCCAGGCACACCCCCAAATTCAGAAACTGGGGTTGGGGTCAACATTACGTAGTTTGTTGCGGGCTTTTTCTGGGCATATCAAACACGAGCCCTCCTCAGACCATTCAAAGCGTCCATGGTGGATGATTTCGCAAGCCTGGGCTTTGGCGCACTGATGCCCCTCAGAACAGGCAGTCATGCAAATCGATCCCCCCCCCCCCCCAAATCCCCAAGCCTTGCACCGACGCACCTTTGCTGACCATTTGACATCAAATCCTCAAGCGCTCCTCGACCTCTCGCTGCGATTCGGCCCGTGCAAGACGGAACATGCCGATGTCGGATGATGCCTTGGACCTGGTCCTCCAGAAATGGGCCTGGGCAAAAGGTGAAGAGGCGGCAATGAAGAAGACCATCGAGATGTGCAAGACACAAGTGGCGCCCTGGGCCCTGTTTATTGTGGAGGGAATCGCAGCGGTTGGGCAGGTGTTGAGTTATTTAAGTCATGGATGCCTGCTTTGGCATGATGCTTTGGGGTAAACGGCAGGCTCAGCTTGCGGCGCTTTGGCGAGGGATGGTTTGCCTGTGACCATTTGGCTTGTTGCCCTGTGTTCTTGTCCAACCATCGCGGAATGCGGGATATTGCCCCTGTCCGTCGGGCTTAAAGCAAGCGTGTGTGCACCGTGCCAAGCGATGGGTCAATCACCCAATGAATCCAAGATCCCACTCATGATGGAAAACAAGGGTTGTTTTTTGTTTTTATCAGTACTCTCGTGTGTACTCAACGGCGATTATGATGCCATTGGCGCAATTCAGCGCGTGTCGAATCTTTTGCACTTTCGGCAGGCGTGTCCCGCACTCCTAAATCATGTGAACACAGCTGGGGACACCCACAATGCAGGACCCTTTCACGTATTGCTTACGTATTGGCGTGATGTGTGCAGAGCTTATCCTGGTTCCGATTTCATTCGGCTTTCGTGCTCTAGATTCTAGGCTCTAGATATGTCCTGCATCTACAGGCCAATGTCTTTGTGTTTGCCCTTCACAGTGTTTTGAGCAGACTTCTTGCGAGCCATCACCTGCATTTGCACCGCCGGCTTTTGCTTATATTGGCCCCATGCGGTGCAAACCACAAGGCCAGTGCAGCTCCAAGGCTTCACGCTTTCCTCCGAAGTCATGCATGGACAAGGCCATGGTGAAAGAATCATTAACACGAACCCGAGCCAAGTTGGGAACAAACAAGCCCAAGGCACTCTTGCCATGATCGATCAAGGGAATGTCCCGAAATTGGAAGTCGTTTAGGTGAACTGGATTGTTGCATCAACCATAGATCTAGTTCAGGAAGCCACCCAGTTTTGTTGGCTGATTTACTGTGAGGACAACCCACGCGTCCTCACTCTGAGGAGAAGGCCATGAAAGAGCGAAGCTGCACCGAAGTCAACACTGGCAGCTACCAAGTGAAGAAAAGCATGAGCCACTTGGACTGAGATTCATGCTTGGGTTTGCACAGAGCGTTACAAAACATTGGTTGTAATTGGTGGCCGTGGTCTGGCAGATGGTTACATTCGCAGGCCGCTTGTGTCGTTTCAGAAACCTTCTCCTGCCTACTGTGAGACTTGGTACTCCATGGCATGCCTTTCATCTCCCCGTCAATTGCCGACGTATTGGTGTTTGAGCACATTGCCCGCCTCCAAGCTAGCTCAAGTTTGCAGGCCCCAAGGCTAAGGATCGATCTCCCAGGCTGGGTATGCCCAAAGCGCGAAAAAGGGATCCTGAAAGTCCCAGACGCCCTGCCACGCTGAGGAAAAATGGAGCACGTCTCAAAGAAGGACCTGCCGGCCAGTGTTTGGAGCAAGTGCATCCCTCAGCTTAGCTCTCCCAGAGGCTCCAGAACAAAGAGCTTGCTGGAACCTGCATGTGCTCCCCCTTAGCTATGATGGAAGTCAGGCTGGCTCCCATGATGACAACCGTCTTTTTAGTTGGCTTACCTCATGGACTATATTCAAGCCAGGCATTCAGATTTGAGTTCACTGCTTCCGTTGACGGTGGCATGTGCAGGAGCAAACGCCAGCGTCGGGACAGCCCATATTGGATCCCATGATGTAAGGCTTCTTTTCGGGGTCGCACTACCCCCGCCAGTCCCCATCATCAACTCAAAGCGATCTAGCAGCAAGAGTGCTTGAAAAGGCTTGGCGTTGACTTTGCCATCACCTTTCTGGAAGTGTCAAGGGACAACAAAAGACATATTCATATATATATATATGTGTGTAGTTCTAGCTCAGGTATGCGAAGACCTCGGAGTTCAGCGTCCTATCCTTCAAGTCTTTGAAGAAGGCCATGAAGGCGGCCAAGGCCAAGGCCAAGGCCAAGGCCGCGATGAAGTCCATGAAGTCTTGAGCGAAACGAGCGCCAGCCTCAAGGCTTGACGCCGCTGCGAGAATAGGGGCCATTTTCTGCGGCACTCCTTGGAAGCCTTGGGCTGGTTTATACTTTGTTTCTTGATTTATGCCATAAAGAAGATCCCATGAGAAATCGCTTAGGGAATCGACTGTGCCACAGCTTGCATAGCCACGGCCTGCTTCGCGAGCAGAGAAAAAGGTGGCTTGCGCGGCCTTCGTTCAACTAGCAGCAGGCACTTGTGGATAGTGAACATCATTTGTTGTTGCGTATTTGCAAGTCTTACAGAGACGGTTCATGAGAAGCTCTCAGATTCAGCGAAATGCTAGGGCCTCGGCACATTCCAGCTACACTTTCATTTGCATGCTAGAGAGCAGAACCATTCACTGTGAGCATTGATCATGTTGGCCGAAGTGTTGAGGCTGAAGGTCAAACAGGCACTCTGTTCAGTTCGTTTTCGAGCTAGTCAACCTCAGCTAACACATGTTGTAGGTACATTGTGGCCAATTGGGTTCATCAGTGTTCATCTTTTCTTGCTGCCACCAGACATGATGCCCATTCAGAGATGGCTCAAAATCAGTCTGAGCAGGGTTGATGGGTTATTGAACCCGCCGATTGCGAGAATTGGCTGTGCATGACATTCTGGAGTCACATATGAACCCTCCCTGAGCGGCAAGCATGCAACGCATGCTAAGAATATCTCGTTTTGGTCAGCTTACATGTTTGGTCAACAAATGGCAACAACCACCTGAACACAGTAGCCACTCGCGCAACAACTTTCATTATTTGCCATCAATCAGCTGGAAACAGCAAACCACCATGACTTCCATTCGGGGAACAAGCCTACACACATGAACATGTTCCACCTTTTTTTTTCGGCGAGCCTGAAGGCACGGGCTTAAGCTTCCGGCGGCCGCCTTGTGTCGGCCAACGAGTCGGGCCACAGCATGCACATGGACGGGCCACTGCGGATATGGTTACCAGAGAAACGATCAACTTGCTGGTCGTGAACTTGGCTAACTGTCCGAGCGGGCATGACGGAGTGCAGCGTCTTTCAGTCAAGCAGGGCCCTCCAGAAGTCACACAGGGCGCTGGGAGATGGTGCGAGTGGGTCGCAACTTCAGGGCGATGCATTTTTGCCAGAGGCACATTAGGATTAGGTAGCAACTTGCACTTAGATGCGAAAGTGGCGTGCGATCGTGCCGGGCAACATCACATACCCCGCAGGATGAACTGGGAACGGCTCGCCAGAGGCCAGCAGGACTTTGGAACATGCTCTTTCTGTGGTTGGGCGTCAATTAGGTTTGGGACAGGGCTCTGGGCGTGTTTGGATTGCCGCCGAGGGCTATGAAGTGGCTGCATTTGCATGTGCCTCAGGGTGCTGCCAAGGTTGGCCTGACTGCGCGAGTTTCGGATGGAGAACGATCCAGATTTCTCGCAAGTCAGCGCGCCGCTGTCGGGATCTCGCGGCCTTCTAGCGATGCGACTGAAGCTCCGAATGTAGTGCGTCCATTTTCTGCTGAGACATCAAACAAGTGGCCGGGGCTTCTCCCTTATATGACTGGAGACGGATCAAAGCATGTGATACTGCACCCAACCCTGCGCGACATTGAGATAGTTCTAGCCTGGCCCAAAGTGCCGGACACCTGGAGAGCTTGTTCTGTGTAATACGGGCTGTCACCACTATGCGGGTCGCAGTCCTCGACGCGGGAAAGCTCACCGGGTGGTAAAACTATAATGATGAAGGGGTCCCATGTTTTGAGGTAGTGCGCATTTTTCAATTTTGCAGCCGCAGTTCCCCCGCAGTTCCTTTGCTTTGCGCCATGGACTTCGACGACCTCGATGATGTTGAGGCCACCGCCGGCCCCCAGGGACTGCAAGAGCCTGCCGGCAATAAACTTCGCGTTTCAAAATGTGCCTGCCTTTTGGTTGGTTACTCACCCGCCGGACGCTTAGGCAGGCCGAGCAGAAACTTGTTTTGTGTTGAAAATGTGGTAGGATCTTGTGGGGGTGCACCTGTTGAGGGATGCATGTTGGGACGAGCGAGAGAGAGAGAGAGAGAGAGAGAACAAAAAAACAAGAGAGAAATAGAGAGAGAGAGAGAGACAGGCAGGAAGGCAGACAGACAGACCGAACCGACCGACAGAGAGGCAGACAAACAGCCGGACAGACAGACGGACCGACGGACCGACGGACACACACACACACAGACCAGCAGGCAGTAAGACGACAGACACAGCCAGGACAGGCAGAAATACAGAGAGAGGGAGGGAGGGAGGGAGGGAGGGAGGGAGGAGAGGAGGGAAGGAGAGAGAGAGCGAGCGAGAGAGCGAGAGAGCGGCAGACACGGAGCTAGGCAGGGAGGCAAGAAGACAAGGCGAGGGCTAGACAGACAGAGGCACATGTAGAGAACGATATAGAGAGAGACTACAGTTTAACACAAAGCTACATCGCTTTACCCGCAGATCATTCAATCGGTTCGTTTGTGTGCAAGTTTCAGCTGTCGGCTGCGTGGCGGGGTTAAAACATACAAGGCTCATGGTTCCATCGAGTCATTTTGAGGGGCGTTGCTCATTGAGTATGCCTTGTCAAAGAATGGAATGGCCAGTCCTTCCAACCCAGCTTGCCCTGTTGCCAACACTTGCCATATCAGCCCAATGTCCGAGTTATTTTTTCGTAAAACCGCGTCATTCATGGCGGTCCAAGACGGTCCTGGGAGCCCAGGGCCCAGGGACAATCAACCTGATCATTTGTTTGATGTTCAATATGTGGCTTCCAGTGGCCAGGATTTGACAGAAATGCGTGCCGCCAAGGCAGAGGGAGAAGCTGCAGACTGCGAGCTGGGCACATGGCCTGCACTTGAGCGCTGCAGGGGGTGGGAAAAATTCGGATCAGACAAATCCAAGCTGAATTGCTTAACGCAGATGTTTTTGCAAGAGAAGGCTTTTGTTGAATCTGTGCGCTTAGCGGTCTTTTGTTGGGAGTTTATGCTCACTGTAAGTAACAAAGTGCCCTCATTCCTGGCTGATTTGATGCTTATGGTTCCGCAGCTTACTCAGAAGATCCAGCAGCACTTTGCAGATTGCTGTGGGCAGCCTCTCAAGCCCCCGACTGTTGGACCGGTCCTGTGCTTCTTTTCCTCCATTTCCGTTTTTGGTTTAAACCATTACCTCGGCCAATTTGAAGTGAGTTTCCTTGGGTGGCGTTGGAAGGGCAAAGAGGGAAGGGGGCGAAGAGAGGGCATGGAAGAGTTCTGTGGCCGCAGGAAGAGCTGGCGGCCGCCGCACCTTTCCCCCGACCCAAGGGCAGAGGTTTCGGCGGCGCGAAGAGACTGCAGAAGGCAGGGGGCAAAGACCTGGGTCGTTTAAAGACGGTTCCCGATGTTTCTCGTTGCAACACCACAGCAAAAGGAAGACAAGTTGCAGTCCCAAAGCCACGTTTTAAGGGGACATACGGGGAATCCAGTGAAGGATGCATGTGGGCCATTGGAACAAATCAAAATGCAGCCGATTTCGAGGATTTGTGTGTAAAGCACGTGGCTATGGATGTATCCTTCAAGGAACCTGAAGACATCTCCAATGAGCTGATTTGTGCATTTCTGCGTTGACATGGGGAGGATATCCTTGCTGCATTGCCAGGATCCTGGCTGTGTCTAACGTGTGTTTCCGCCCAACACTTGTTGAGTGATGTCGTGCGGTGGAACAACCTTGTACCTCCTTGTTCCCAAAGCTTGCCCCGCGACCGTGCCGGGGCAGGAGTTCTCAGCGTTGCCCAGTTGTATGTCAATGACTGCCCATGCAGGGTGGGACCTGACGTGCGGTCAGTGATCCTAACCTAAAGCGCTGTAAAATGTTTTTACATCAAGGCATATTGTGTGCGTGTGTTGGAGTTCGATTATTTCCCCGAAGCCAGACAAGCTAGCCTTTAGTTGGTTGCTTGCCCTTCGAACTGTGAGAACCATTAGGATCACATTCACAAGCTGATAAGGATTTGCTGCCACAGGTTGGTTGCCTTGAGGGCATGAACCCCAGCGAAGACACAACATGATCATTTTTGTTCCTGCGAGCGCCACCCCTTTGCCTATGAGAAGCCACTATCGCCAAGAAAGTGATGTACGTGAGTTGCTCATTGTTTGTAGGTGGGTTTCCTTGTTCGAAAAATCCGATATGAAGCCGGTATCACCCGCAGTCTCCTTTTCCTACATTGCCATCCACGGGGGGTTGCCCTGAGGTGCTTTACCTGCATGGCCCTGGCTCCAACAAACTGATGGCGGAGAAGCAAGTCCAGGCAGTGTTCAAGAAGCTTGGCTTCACCTCGTTGGGTCCTCTCTTGCCTACAGGATTGAATAGGTCATAGAGGTGTTCAAGGGTTACTTCTCTGTTGACCTGGAGGCGAAAAAGGGGGACTTCGCGAAGCAAGGACTGAGCCGCAAATCAGGTCGCCTCTATTCTGGCTCGGGCGGAGCTTGTGCAGCAATCAAGAGTCATGGGCAGAAACTAAATTTTTCAACGGGCAGTCCTCTTGTCAGGTAAGCTGTTCGATTCACGCCTTGCAGAATGTGGGCATGCTTGCGGCCACCATGAACACGCTTGCCCACTGTCTCACCTTTTGTGGGTTCCGGTGTTTTCGTTCAGCGATTCCCCACCCTGATTTGTCCCCTTCACTCAGCCATGGCACCCCCAAGAACCGCACGAGTATGATATCAAAACCGGGGACCCCCCCCAAAACTGGTGGTGGTTCCTGTTGCGTTGGTGTCCTTCCCTTTGGGCACCCTCAACAAAAACACACCTAATACCCAAGGAACTTGAAATGGGTGGTGGACTTTGAGCTGCTGGAGTGGCACTTTGTCGAGGGAGCCATCAACTACAAGCTGGAGGAAACTTGGCGGTTAGTTTTTCCTTTTTTGAACCTTTGATTGTTTGGAAAACTTGAGATTGTTCTCCCCACACGATAAACCGGTGTCGTTATGCTCTTGAACCATGAGCCGCTTTTCGTTGTTTTTTTTTTCGGGGTTGGTTCTCCACAAGTTAAGCAGGTGTTGTTTGGCTATTGAACCATGAACTAAAATAATTGGTTGGCCTTGAGCCATTTTTCCGCCTTTTTTGTTGGTTGGTTCTCCACGAGTTAAACAGGTGTTGTTTGGCTCTCGAACCTTGAATTATAGTTGGTTGGCCGTTAGCCGATTATAGCTTTGTTCGGGAGTTGTTTCCCCACAAGTGAAACAGGTGTTGTTTGGCACTTGAACCATGGATTATTTTCATTGGTTGGCCGTTAGCCCCGCTTTTAGCTTTTTTTGGTGTTGTTTCCCCACAAGTTAAACCGGTGGCGTTTGGCTCTTGAACCATGAACTATTTTCATTGGTTGGCCGTTAGCCGCGTATAGCTTTTTTCGGGGGTTGTTTCCACACAAGTTAAACAGGTGTTGTTTGGCTCTTGAACCATGATTTTTTTTTTCGTTGGTTGGCCGTTAGCCCCGCTGTTAGCTTTTTTGGGGTTTGTTTCTCCACAAGTTAAACAAGTGCTGGTTGGCTCTTGAACCATAGTTGGTTGGCCAGTAGCTGCTTATAGTTTTTTTGGGGGGTTGTTTCCCCACAAGTTAAACAGGTGTCGTTTGGCTCTTGATCCATGTTGTTTTTTATTTTTTAACCGGCGGGCCTTTAATTTGCCGCTTTTAGCCTTTTCAGAGCTGTTGAACCTTGACCTATCATGATTGGTTCGCCTTTAGTTTTCAGCTTTTTGGGGGTTGTTTCCCCACAAGTTAAACAGGCGTTGTTTGGTTTTTGAACCTTGACATATAATTCGTTGGTCTTTAGCCGCTTTTAAGTTTTGTTGGGGTTGTTTCCCCACAAGTTAAACAGGTGTTGTTTGGCTCTTGAACCTTGGTTTAGTATTTTTGGTTGGCCTTTAGCTTCTACGCTTTTCCGGAGTTGTTTCCCCACCAAAAGTAAAACATGATTTGTGGTTCTCCTTGGCAATAGCCAAGGAGATACACTGGGACCCCGCCGTGCAGAAGATTTTCGCACCCTTTGGACGGCCGTGTGGTGAGTCATATGATGGCGCCTTAGCAGACTTGTGTTGTCCCCAGGTAAAGGTTCCGAAGGCACGTTGGCCATCCTGGGTTTCAGTCTTCAGTTCCAGGAGGTTTTGGAACGCTTTAGCCCAAGGATTGTTGCTTGAGGACTCTTTGTGCTGTGTCCCAAAAAAACAATTGGAAGAACAAAAGCGCAGGAAATTGGCATCCGCGGTGTAAAACTTTGGTTTGGCAGCTGAGGTTACATGAGCTACTTTTCGATGTGGAATGAAAGCCATCAGGACGCTTGTCTCTGAAAGACGGGCTGTGGGTGTCTGATTTTGTCGCCCGTGCATGCTTGGTTGTTGCCTTTTGTTGTCCGCTGCCTGCACCAACGTGCAAAGAGTGTCGTTTCTGTATGGTTTGTTTGTGTATGTGGGCGCAAGCATGGAGAAAGCAGGAACCGAGCCACACTCCTTGGCGGCCACCTGTGATGTGATTCTGTGCCACCGCCATTGCATGCTAATTATTGCTTTGCTTGCCCGACGGCCGCGACCAGCAGGGTGCAACCCAAGTTGCCTGAAAGAGCAAACCGCCAATCAAGCTCCAGTGCCGAGGAAGATGCCCATGCAGTCAACTTGTGAGGCTGTTTATGCGCTGAAGGGAGCTATACGGAACCAGATGTGCGCCCACACATGTTTTTTTTTTTTTGGAAAGTGTGACGCAACAATGCAGTTTGCAAGTCAATGACTTCAGTTGTTGGAAGAGATTTGTTTTGCGTTGAGCTTTCCACAATTGACAATGCAGGGCCAGTGATGTCAGACAAACCACGCTGGCAATACGAATTGAGTAGGTCCGATGTTTTTGTGCCAGAGTTCCTCGATGCGCCGGCAAGGATGAGACTTGGCTGGGGCCAGAGGCCAGCAAGATGGCTGCAGAGGGACTGGGCGCCTGCGGCTCAAATGGCTGGATCCTCAGTTCATTTCGATCGCAGGTAAAGTGGGAGCTCCAGATTGCTCAGTTTGTAGACTTCACTACTGTAACTGCAATGGGGGAACCTTCCCCCAATGGTTCCTTTTTCGCGCCACTTGCTCTTCGGGGAAGACAACAAGTGCTTGCTTTCGAGCATCCTTTGCATGCGGGCCTTTGTGACACCAAGCTGCTCCTTTTGCCGCGTAGCGGCGGTTGGGTTTTGCACGTCCCAGTATGAAAAAAGACAATTCGACTCTTAGCACACACACACACACAGTTTTCGACTCAACCCATTTGCATTTGAAATGTCCTGTTCGAATGAAACGAGCCTGTGCTGGTACGGCGGGATGTTGGGAGTCCTGCTTTGACACCCAACAAGGAATCCCCTCGATTGAAAGCCCTTGCAAGCAAATGCAGGTTACGAGGATGTGCTTGAGCATATGGCGGCCCACTTGGCGGAGAATGGCCCCTACGACGGTGTGTGACTTTGCCAAGACTTGCACACCTGGTTGTCCTCAGTTGGGCAAGGTTGCCGTGGCATGTTCTGTGTGTGTGTGCTTTCAAACAGGGTTAAATTTATCATGAAACAACTTGAAGTAGTCGCACCCTGTTTGTTTGATTGTCCCGTTCAATTTGCATGGACAACGACAGTCTCACAGAAGACGATACCTAGCTCACACATCAGGACATATACTCCCAGCAAGTTTGCTTCAAACATTGTCAATCAACAGGTTCAGGCAGCCATGTCGGGTAGCTTAAAACAGGGTGCGCTTTCTCTTTCGTGCCTTCGAGAGACTCCCTTTGGATGATGGCCTGGCGCCGGCGCCCCCCCTTTTTGCGCTTTGCCATGTTTTGGGCAGGCTCACGGATGGCATTGTGACACTTTATGGTGTCGTGACCCACCGGGAAAGCCACAGCCATGTTTTGTCAGGTCCAGTTGCAAACGGATTGGCGCCGTTGCATTTGCTAGCGAAGTGCTGACATCGATCTCCTGCTACAGCTGAGGAACTTTAGTCACAATGTTTGGGTTAGAATGTCCTGGTGAAAGACCCATGAAGGGTCTGATGGGATCCTCCTTTGAATGGGTGTGTCCTGGTTTGGGAAAGAGTTGCTCCCAACTTAGATTTATCTGGTTCTTTCCATTTTGCTTATGAATATATTTGTTGTTCCCCGGTTGGTTTCAAAGGGAATCTATCACTACTTGGAGTTTTTTCCAGGGGACTTCAGCAAGTGGAGGGTTCGTGTCCACCATATTGAATGCACCCAGCAGAACCTTCCTGCGCCATGAAGGTGGATGTTCACTTGCCCAGTGGAGATGGTTTCTCTGCAGCGGTCTCACCGGCGACACTCGTCAGCAAGCTGAAGGCTGCAGCGCAGCAGCATTTCCAGCGCCGCTTGAGGCTCACTGCGAAAGGCCGGCAGCTCGGTTTGACGTCCACTCTGAGCCAGGCCGGGTTGCGAGATGGGGACGTGGTGGCTGCCGTGGCGCACCTTGGCAAACTGGCTGCCACTGATCACGCTTTTGCTTTGCATGGGCATGGGGAGAAGGTTGTGACCTGGGGTCGTCCAGAATACAGCGGAGACAGCAGCCAGGTGCAAGAGCAGCTGAGTAGCATTTAGCACATCCAGGCAACCTGCAGTGCTTTTGCTGCCATTCTTGAATCTGGCGATGTTGTGACCTGGGGTCATCCAGACTTGGGCGGAGATGACAGCCGGAGTAATGCAGAATTCGGAGACAACAGCCAGTTGCAACAGCAGCTGAGGAAGGTCCAGTGCATTCAAGCAACAGTCGGCGCGTTTGCTGCCATTCTTGAATTTGGGGCCGTTGTGACATGGGGTCATCCAGATTTCGGCGGAGACAGCAGCCAGGTGCAAGGGCAGCTGAGGAACGTCCAGCACATCCAATGCACAAGAAGTTGTGAGGGTGGTGCTTTTGCTGCCATTCTTGAATCTGGAGCTGTTGTGACCTGGGGTGATCCGTACCATGGTGGAGACAGCAGCCAGGTGCAAGGGCAGCTGAGGAATGTTCAGGGCGTCCAAGCAAATGAAGGGGCTTTTGCTGCCTTACTTGAATCTGGGGCTGTTGTCACTTGGGGTTTTGCAGAATTTGGCGGAGACAGCAGCCAGGTGCAAGAGCAGCTACACGACGTCATTCAGATCCAATCAACAACGGGTAGTTATTTTGGTGGCGGCGCGTTTGCAGCCATTCTTGAATCTGGTGCTGTTTTGACCTGGGGTGATCCACAAGCAGGCGGAGACAGCAGCGAGGTGCAAGAGCAGCTGAGGAGCGTCCAGCACATCCAGGCAACTGGCAGTGCCTTTGCTGCCATTCTTGAATCTGGATTTGTTGTCACCTGGGGTGATCCGCAGTTTGGCGGAGATAGCAGCCAGGTGCAAGAGCAGCTGAGGAACGTCCAGTGCATTCAAGCAACAGTCGGCGCGTTTGCTGCCATTCTTGAATCTGGAGCTGTTGTGACCTGGGGTGATGCAGATTTCGGCGGAGACAGCAGCCAGGTGCAAGCGCAGCTGAGGAACGTCCAGCACATCCAATGCACAGTAAATTGTCAGGGTGGTGCTTTTGCTGCCATTCTTGAATCTGGAGCTGTTGTGACCTGGGGTGATCCGTACCGTGGTGGAGACAGCAGCCAGGTGCAAGGGCAGCTGAGGAATGTTCAGGGCGTCCAAGCAAGTGAAGGGGCTTTTGCTGCCTTACTTGAATCTGGGGCTGTTGTCACCTGGGGTCCTGCAGAATTTGGCGGAGACAGCAGCCAGGTGCAAGACCAGCTTAGCTTGTAATTTGGGGCTTGTGCAACACGGCGTAAATCTGGGGAGCCAGAGGGGGCTGAAAGAAGGGAACAACTGGTGAACTCCGCAGTTGGTGAACTTCGCTTAGCGTCCAAATTGGGGCGAAACCACCGGCGCTATGCAACTCTGCAGGCCGCAACAGAGCAATTGGACCTATAGAGAATTAGTTGGATTCCTCGAGACTTTCAGGTGGTCGGTTGCCCTTCAAACGCCTACAGAACTGGGTTCCCGATTTCGAGGCAATTCTTCTCGTCAATGCGTTCGAAAGACATGTGCGTAGGAGTTCAGCTTTTTTTTGACGCGCCCTTGGATTCTTCATTTGCAAAACGTCCCGAATTGGCATCGGACCACTGCGAAACATGTACAAGTCTGACCCCAGCTGGACCTCCAATGGCCGTTGATATCCCAATGACCCGTAGAGAGGGCTGTCCTTGCAATACTGTTGAAAAAACACGGACCTAGGCTTTTCCCTGAGCTAAAGATACGAGACCCTAGCCCAGCATCAGAGCGGGTGACATTTTGGCCCTGCTAGAATTCAGGTTTCTCGGCAAAGGAGTTTCCTGAACAAGGTGCCGATGTACAGTTGGATGAAAGCAGATGCCACGATTGCTCTTTGGTGTAATTATCCTCCAACCAATTAACGTGGATCCTGACAGGGGTCCCTTTAAAATGAAAATGGTCTTCCAGGACCCCCCAAATGTCAGGTTCCATGTTAATTAGTGGGAGGGTAGTCATCCTCTCTTAGCCAAAGGGAGCGGTGCCAACTGTCACCCGGGTCGCGCGAAGTCTTTTGACTCGGCCCAGGTGTGGATTTGACATGGGGGCGAGCTTGGCTTTTGACATGGCAAGCCGCTCGGCTCGCATTGTTTTTTTGTTATTGCGGCTAAATGCCCTGGGAAAAACGTCGCCAGCTGGCACCGAGTGGTGTGACCCGACACTTCGGCTTGACATTTGGATGACAGTAGGTGGCTAAAGTGTTTCGTGAGGTAAGTGGCAAGCAATGATCAAATCTACTCGGGGACTTGTGAACATGCATGCATGCATGCATTGCTGATTGTAATTATGCACCTGCGTAGTTTGCTTCATGGTTGCCAGCGGCAGCCGGGCAGAAGCGATTTTTTTGTGAAGGATAGCTACTTGCTGCAGCTTCGCTGAGGATGAGCGCTTCTTCTCCAGGCTCGCTCTATGCGAGTGCATGAGCATAGTGCGCGTGTTGACCTTTTTCTCCAAAACTAGTCTTTTCATCGGGCCAACGAGTGACGCGCAAAGCTGGTAAGAAACAGCGCACTCCATTCTCTGAGTTGCTTAGGCGCTGCACGCGAAAGCACCACTTTGGACTCAGGGTCGCAAAGTTTTCTGCTACGCCGCCCAAGGACTTGCACAGGAAGGCGACAAGAGATTCACAGCGGCTTGGACAGCTTTACTAGTGCGCTGATTGAAGGGGCCAGCCAGGGAGACACCAGTGCAAAGGATGTGAAGAAAGGCGCGTATCTCTCAAGGGGCCTGGTTGAGTGGGTGTCGCCTTGGCACTTGGCCCAGGAGAAGTTCAGATACCTCGTCCTTTTCTCCGCGCGGGGGCACCGTGCACGTGCACAACTCAGCCAAGGTGCGGGAGTGAAAGCACTTCCTGAGCAGCGCCCAAAACTTCCATTGGCCATTTAGGTTCTACAGCCTCCAGAATCAAAAAGCAGGTTCTACCCTTTCTGGTGATCAGAATTGATGTGGTTTGCCTAAACCTCTTCTGAGTTTGGTACAAGTCAGCTCAGGCTTTGGGGCTCCTGGAAGAGCCTGACTGCCCAAAGTGACGAACACATGGTCCCCGGACGACTCCTCCAAAGTTTTTGTTTGGCTGAGCCAGCGCGCTGCCGACACCACGCGACGCATGGTTATACATTTGCCGCTCTCCGGCATTAGGAAGTTGCAGTAGGCGATCAATGTGATCCCTGACCGGCCGCTTCCTTTTTTCAGCCAAGCAAGTGATTGCTACCTTGATGCAGTACATCGCCTTTGCCATGTGCTCATGACATGAGTTAGTCGCGGGCAGGTCGACATTTCAGAATTGGCATCACCCTGCTAAAAGGGGTTGCTGAACAATCATTACCTGCGTGCGTGGTTCTTGTTTTTGCCCGCTTGGGTCATTTGTTTGTTAGCCACATTGCGTGCGCCCTCCCTCCAACAATCATGGAAGCTGACAGGAAGGCTTTGGCAGACCAATTTCCGTTTGTCGCAGTTTCATGTGTTGTGTATCAACGGTTGTTTGCGTAATCTCTCAACATTGCCAGGGCAAAGCTGCTGGCTTGAGCTAGTCAGGTGCAATTCCCGCAGCTTCATCAGGATGACTCTAACAGGAGGAGAGTTTTCAAAATTATGTTTGGAGTTTGCTCGCTCCATCCAACCTGTGAGGATTTTGGGCGTGGGAAGGGAAGCCTGCGCAATTTCAGGCAATAGAGGCAACAATGGTTTGATGCAAGAAAACGGCGGTTTTTGTCCGTGCGGCCTTGTTTCACATGGAAGCAAAGCTTTTGCAGGGTTGAGGTTCAACCATTTTCGGTTAGATCACCGGTCCGTCAGTTTTGCCCCTCGGCCAGGCAGTCTTCGGCCAAAGGCACCTCTGCAGATCCCTTGCTTCATGAGCTGGTCTCGGGAAGACGACTCGAAGCAGTGCCTCGGCGTTCATTTGTTTGTTTGGATTTTGAGTTGGGCTTGTTTTTGCAGGTTTATTTTGGGAATCAGGAATGCGGGAAGTTTCGTAGATAATCAATACGAGCCCTATTTTATTATAGGTGTGTTTGGGGTTGTTGTTCTTGTCGCTTGACCATGAAGTTATCCGCTCTTCGTGGGAAGTTTTGGTTTGTTTCTGAAATATTCGGAGATGATTGTAGAACGAGCACATCCCTGCATACAAGTCAGATCAAGTCAGAATGAGGCTAGCAAACGTCTTTGATTGCAGCAGGAGAAGGGGCATGTACAAACGAACACGTGGCGCCAAGCCTTCAATCACCACGGGAATTGCATGACTGCATCAGCAAGACGGAAAGGCGCGTAGACGCTGAGACGAGAATAGAGGTGTGCAGAGGCTTAGAGGCTGGAAGGAGAGCTTGTAGTTGAAGGAGTCCCGATTCGCTTGATCGGAGGTATTCCAACTATGAAGAGCTGGCGTGATGCTCAGCTCTTGGGCGCTGCGCGTTGGAAGATCGGAACTATCGGGCCCGAGCCTGGGATAATCCTGGTGGTTTCCTGCGTTTCGCTCGAACAATGTTTGCCCTCCCACAACCGTTCAAGCTGACAGGAAGGTTTTAGACAACGTTCCTGTTGCAGAAGCTCCCTGTCCACTTCCGTTGGACAAGTAGCAGCCGGGTACCGGGTAGCGGCTTGGAAACCAGGCCGCCAAGGCACACGAGTCATTGTGTCGGCTGAGGCGCTGTACGTCCATCCCAACTTTCGCAGGATTTGCCTTTCGGCAGCAAGTCGCAGCTCACCACCTGCCTCGAGCAACGTTTGCCGAACGCGCGCATGTACAGCAAACATGGCCCGCACATGGCTGGGGTCTCCTCCCAACCTTTGTTTCATGGTTTAGGGTACGCTCAATATGGAACAGAGTCAGAAAGTTATTTGGTGTACTCCAGATTGGGTCGCTGAACTGTTGGCGTTAAATGATCGGAGCGCGCATTTGTAGCATTTCTTCAGCCCAATTTGGGACACACGAGCCTGGCTCAACGTGAATTCTGCCGCACCAGCTCAGGCGTGCACGGCCAAGGGCACAGGCCGCCGAACCTGAAGAAGGGTACCCAGGAGACCACGGCGCAACTGGCTATTCTTTTATGCCTGTCCATTGTGTCATGGCGAAAGGGACCGAAGATTACAAGGTGAGATATGTGTACAGACTGTGCTCATAGCTATCAAGGGCTGAAGCGGGTTATCTCTTGATGCACCGATTTGAATACGTGTATGTAGACAGAACAGTTCATTACTTTTAGGGTTTGAAAGGATTGGACGATCATGCCAAGGTTACATAATGCTCAAATCGGCCTTTCCAAATGCCTCGAAACGCTTGCAGCTCGGGATCTCCCAGGAGTGTGAGCTGTTGGACGCCTTCATCGGGGAGATGCAGGCGGACACCTTCTCAGGTGCCTCTTCTCGCCGTTGGGGTCAGGTGGCGCGTGCCCTCTTCAAGGGGCAGAGCCCCTGGCTGCTTTGCACGTGCTCGTGTAGAACAGGCTAAAACGCCATGGACTGTTGATTGGTGATGCGATGCGAGGGTTATGTGCAACCACAGGCAGTGGGCGCTCGCCAAGCACGTTTCGGTAACATGCTGCAAAACACACTTCAGTATGGGTAATGACAAAAGCGTACAAGTGTTTGCTCCAGTAGTTTGTTTAATGAGATCACTGGGACCCTGTTAGCATTCGCTTGCATATCGTTGAAGTTGTTTGCTGGTGTTCGGTGATTTTTGGATGTCACATATGTGCAGGCTTTACGACTAGTATGCGGCATGGCAGATGGAATTACAAGTACATGTTTAGGTATGAACTTGCATGCGCCCACGGTTTCTCAACGAAGCTTTCAGCATACGTTTGGTGGTGAAAGTGCCCATTCTGTAGTTGCCCTTTTTTGGTCCAAGACACTCGCTAGACGCTTAACACCAAACAATTCAGCTGGTCGGCGTCCAACCCGAGCTTCCCCCACTGGGGCATGGCTTTAGGTGTGCAGGAAGATGGGCCAGATATCTACAAGGACGCGCAGCTGTTTGTCCGTTGGCAGAGATGTTTGGCTGCATTTGAACGAACCCGCCTAAATGATTTTCTAGGCCCAATTTGAAGGCCTCAGTTTCAGGCCGCTTGTGCCACTTGCAAACTACCATATGTATATATATATATATATAATGTACACACATAGGTAAACATATGTGAATAAAGTCATACGTGTATGGATTATGCAGCCCTACGGCCTTGTCGCCGTGTAGGATAGCTTGCAAGGGCACCACAAAGTCCACGCTCGCCAGGTTCATATGTCAAGACTCTTCCCGATGAATTTCTTTCGTTAGCACCAACCTCCAAGCGACAGGAGTGAGGTTGCGAATGCGGTGGCTCAAACTGTTTGCTCTGCTCAGCCCTGTGCTGGGATGGCATGCCACTGGAGAAATGGGATTGGGCGGTTGCTTCGCCGGAGGCCTGTGGAGCTTGCAGAGGAGGATTGGTTCCTGAGACATTTCAAAATGCGAATCTAAAGGCCTTATGGACTTATGTTTGGTCGCAGGTCGGGTTTCACTTCCAGGACAACAGCGACTCATTCATGAACCGTGTTAAGTGATGTTAAGTGATCAGGGGACAGCCTGCCTCGATTAGACCTCCTCCCAGGACTTTTGGCTGCCATTACCAAGGGAGCCCGCAGCCTTGCCTGAGCCGCCAATGAAGGTTATTGCGGCTGGGCGGAAAGTCTTTCCACGATCTACAGAGCACCCATTTGATGCTCTTTCATTTGCTCAACGCATATGTTTGCTGTTCCCCTGCTGGCTTCAATCGGAACCTATCACTACTGAACATTTTTCCTGGGGGCTTGAACAAACGGAGTTATTAAATGCCTGGTTGACAGGGGGCCTCGCAGAGGGAGGCACCACCCTGTCCGCAAGGCCAATTGGCGACTTGGATTGGAACAAAACTGTATAAAGTTCATGGCAATATAGCTGCATCCAACTGTAGAGGATATGTGGAATAGAGCCAAATGGAGGGGGAGGCATGGTTCCTCAAAAAATTGAGGCACACCTTCAGGATTTTGCAGGGCTATACGAGCATTTTTGAGTTTTGTTTGGACGTGATGTTGTAAAGATCATTCGGTCCGGCCCATTGACAAGAGGCTGTCCGTGTTTTTGTTCCTGGAAAGACGTATGGCCGGTTTTTTTGGACGGAACCCCTATTTGGATCATTTTTCCCGTATGGTCCTTTTTTGCTGGCTGGTGGCCGTATTTTGGCCGTATGCAACCCGTAGTTGTTCAACAAATTGTTGACAAAAAACCGTAAATAACCGTATGGTCATTTTTTGTGTGGCCCAAGCCGTATGGACAGAAAGCAACGTCACATATTGGGTTTCCAGGTTGCTATCTGCAGGCGTTTTTCCCTGCGCTCGCCTCAGGCCTTAGGGCACCATCGTTTTTTAGCCGACATCGCATTTGCAATCTACTTCCCTAAGCCAAGACCATGTGGGCAAAAGGCAGCGGCATGTCACTTGAAGTTGAGATTTTTTCTTTGCCTTTTGTCTTGCAGTCATAATGTTGGCCCCCGGAGTAATAAAAGTCGACACTCAACTAGATTCCAGATCCATCGTCCATTCAACCCTTCCACTCTGCCCTGGCCCCAAAAACGCGCCTCCCCATATGGTTGTCAAGTAGGGCCACCCCAATCCCAATACCTGGGGTTCCTTCTGGGTGTAGCTGAAAGCTTAGGGGTCTCTGCCCAGATAGGTTTTGGCGGAGAATCGGCTCCAGGAAATTCAAGAGGCTTTGTTCCGGAGACTCGGTAGGATAGTCGGTTCGGTGCTGGGTACTGCGACTTCTGGCCCCAGCCATGGGACCCTCGCGCTCGCGCCGAGGTGGTGGTCGACCCTTTGGGCGAGCACGGGCCGACGGCGGCGGAGGCGAAAGCGGATCGGAGCCGCTTCCCCGCGCAGGAGCCCCTGGAGGCACGGAGGGGTTCTTTGCCCTTTGACCGGGGGTGGGTTTCAAGGGAACTCTGTCCAAAGGTGGGTTTAATGGGGTCAAAGGGCGGGTTTAGGGGAGGAGTTGCCTTTGTCCAAAGCGAATCGATCTTTTGACTTCTTGGTTTTCCAGTTTTCCCAATTTTCAGTCACACCAAAAGGTTAACCTTTTATTCCTAGCTCATTTGGGCAACTGAGGGAAGCGAAAGGGAAGCCAAGCAATTTAGGGGTTCGATTTGGAGACACACCTGAATGGCTGTGATGTTTATTATCCCTTTGGGACATTTGCATGGGAGGTTTGGGTCACCCAACCATTTTGGAGGGGTTCCCTATTGCCCTATTGTATTAAACAGCCCAAAATGAGCTGTTTTTCCAGTGAACCCCAGGAAACCAAAACGGCTACTGTACCCGGAACAGAAATGAACAAAATGGCACCATGAAGGGCTGTTGTTGACTTCTTGGAGGCAAAGGTGTGAAAGCACGCATGTCTAGAAGAACCTTCCTCAGTGAACTTTTCTCACTCATGCAAGCCCTGCCAAGGCATCTTGGGGCTTAAGTCCCGAGCTCGGCCAGGCCTACTTGGTTCATCCCACTACTTTCCAACCTGTGCTCCTTTGATTGACTCCTCTTTGGAATCGACAGGCTCTTCGGGCAAACCTTCTCCGAGAGGGATCGGTGCCATCGTGAGGCGTTCTCAATCATGTGGGTGGTTTGAGCTTCAGCTTGGAAAAGTGGCCTTGCTGCAGACTTTCGGGATTGCCAGGTCCTCAGTGGTATTAGTATACTTCTCCTTTTCCTTCTCCAAGCTTCTTCTGGCTTTGCACTTGCTTGGCTAGCAAAGGCTTCATTTCACTGCTGCCACAGTCAGTGACACATGTGGCCGGTGTTGCTGAAATATATTGGTTTGTGCCAACATAGGGGGGCCCACAACTGATGCCTTCCTTTTGGTTTGCCTTCAAACCCACCCAACAAGCAGGTACCTTCACAAAAACATAGTCATATATGGCTGATAGGATGTGTTGGCCAGGTCTGCCAGAAGCGACTGAGCATCTTCAGGCGCGGGGGTTGGCTTAGTATGTTTTCTTGGCACCCGAAGTGCCTCATTCTCAGATGTCGCTTGTGGAGGCACGCCGGGGTAACCTGCTTGTTCGTGCTTTGCAGCAAGCCCGAATTGAACACAGGCCGTTTGGAGACAGGCCCGCTTTGTTGATGCATGTTTCCCAGCCCGCCGGGGAGAGTGGTGCTAGCTTGAAGAATTTCCAAAGGAGACTCACTATGTATGGATGATGTACGCATATTTGTTTGTTCAAAGGGAACTTATGGGATGTATCAAAGCACTAACCTTTCCAGGATGCTGACTGTTGCCTCCCCTTTAATCCAAGCCCATGACCAAAGGCCCCTGCGCTGCATTGAACGGATGCCTCGGCTGTGGAAGGTTACTTAATATGTTTGTTTCTGTCTCAGACTGATCGCCTAGCACTTCCTGCAACCACTTCAAGGCGCAAACATTTATGCTGTCGTTGCCAGCCTTTGCATGGCAGTCCTACATACATCTTGGCGTTTGTTGCTGGTTCTGCACGTTTGCTTTGTTAACAAGTGGCAATGAAGAGGAATTGCGCAGCACTCAGAGATGGGGCTCGGCGGAGATCCTCGGAGTTTGCTAGGGGGTTCAGGTTCTCTTAGCCTGCTGTGGGGCCCCTCTCTGTCTGGATATTCAGCAAGTTAGGTTGCAACCATGCATATGAAGGGGACAAGAGGTTGTTGGAGATATGGGGGTGCAAACCTATGGCCACTCTCTGGAGCATGGTGCTGCCTTGTGCGGCCTTTCAAAAGGGATACTAAAGAGGGGTCCTAGTTTTCAGTGGCGACGACTTTATTGAATTGGGGACCCCCCCCACCCCCATCCCCCTTATGGTAGGGGGGATGTTGTAAACCTACTGGATGGCAAACCCACGTAACCTACTGGATGTGTAAATGTAAAATCCCCTTCTACCTCGCAGGCAGGTCACTGCCACCAAGTGCGAGGACTTGCTGCTGGAGGGCTGGGAAGTGCTCAGCGTCCTTTGGCTTGAACCCGTCCCCATTTAGGTTTCTCGCCTGTTGAAACCCTGCCATTCCACGTTAATCTAAAGGCATGAATGTATGCAGGGCTCCAAAGTTGTACAGCTGGGTGAAATTATCTAGATGGCGAAAGGGAATTGTGTGAGCCACTGGCATGGGCCAGTGGCTGCTTCACCCTATTTTAAACACGAAGTTACCATTGCCAACTGCAAATTGGGTGGGAAGCGTTCTTGTTTTTTCATTTTGTTGTGGTGGGGAGAACCCACCCATTCACCAAAAGGAGCCGTGCACTTCCGGATTTGTTCTGGATGGTAGGCTTGGGTTTACCGACCAGGGATTCTTCAAGACCCATTTCTTGGTTGGTGCGCACGCTCGACATGGCAGCTTATTCCGACAGGGAGGAGTGACGTGCAGCGCAGAGAGGACAGCAAAAGCGATAGCTCAGTCCTGAACAAGGCCCGCAAGATGTGGAGACCGAGATAGTATTATGATTGCACCTTCATATGTTTATCAGTCTTTATCCAATGCTCCATCCACCCCCGCCATCCGTCGGCTGCGCCCATCTCGACTGTCATGAGCCAGTAGTTCACTGCACTGGCACTATTCCCCCCTTTTGGTTTAGTGGGTTTACCCATGGTCAGCCCCAAAACGGTCAATTTTCATTCCTCTTGCGCTAGGTCTCCCGCTAGCCATGGTCAACCCCCGGCCCTAGGCGGCCTTCCAGCCGTCGCACGTCTCCCTGCGGTGGCATCCAGAAATCCAAGCGCGCGACAGCTCCGTGGCTTACTCTGCGCGGTCCTCGGGGATTCGGGGATTTGATGTCTGCCGTCGACACCCTGGAGGAAAATTTGAGCGAAGCTTTGGTGGACATCAAATTTACACAAGGGCTTGTGTCCACCAACCATTTTTTAAAGGGATCTCCGTCACAACTCAGCCATTGTGCCACGATGAGAGCTGGCTGACGGCTAGAGGTTGCGCCGGGAAGTAGTTTTGCTCCCGTACTGATTAACATGCTTGGCTTCTTGCTAAGGCAAGGGGGGCAGAAATCAAACCTAGCATTGTTTTTCTACTTCAGTCGAAGTTTGCGAGCATGCTTTGAGTTGTTTATTGCTGGGTCCGCAGTTGGCGTTCCTAAACCAACTTTGTCAAGCCTTTGTAAGCTGAAAATCCTTTTTGGGCAACAAGACTTTGTAACTTGAATCAGTCCGGTCTTGCCTGTGACAAGTGTGTTGTCAGCTTCTGACACTTCTTGGGGATAGGCCTCGGTTGTCGAATGACCAGATAGGCTACTGGCATTTGTCGGTTGTGCAACGCATCATGCTAGAGTGGAGCAACATAGAGTTCAACAGGCTGCTGTCGGGCCCTTTCAAAATGTATTGGATGAAACTCCAAGGGGTCAGCTACCTCTAGGTGCAGGACTTGTCCGGGCATGTTTTTCCTTCCTTCCGGCGGCAATTTTGAACTACTCGTCACAAAGCAAGTGGGTCCAGCCAAGATATTGGAGAGATTGGATTTGGCACGCGGGAGTTTCTTGAAATAGGTGTCCCCTTATTGGATGCTAAGGCAACCACCTGAAGGACATCCACGAATGGTAAGATAAACAGGTGACCCGCGGATCAGGTGGATGCTGGTCGCAGTCGCTGGCTGCAAGCTGAAGACGAGGCAAGTCCTGGGCTTGCGGCACGCTTCGGATTCCTTCGGATGGGTCCCAATATTTCGCTTTGGAGCCAGGTCAAACAAGACGTTGGTGGACCAATTGTAGCTTATGTTGCAGGGGGGAAATATGGGGGAGCCCTTGTGCGTCCACGAGGCACGTCGCAGTACTCTTGGTTGTTTGTAAACGCGACTGGGGAATTCTGTGCTCATCTCTAAGCATTCGAGGATGCCTCACGTGGCTGTCATGGTTCTAGTCACCCAAGCGAGCACCTACGAGACATTGCCCGGTTCCCCCTCCATGGCGTCGCCTTGCTGTGTGATCAAGGGGCTTTCCCAATATTGGGAACATTGCTGACAGCTTTGAGATGCCCTCCGAGAATGCCTTGGAGAAGAAAAACTGGAAGGCTGTGCCATGCTGTTTCCAATGTACGGCAGGAAGAGCCCAGACAAGATGAGCCAGGTAATATGTGTTGCAATTTGCTCATACGCTAACCGTGCCAAGGTGCCCCAAGTTTAGGGAAGCTTTTGAACATGCCAGAAAAAGTTGCACCGCCGTGCCCAGCATATAGCTTCCCACAATTGGAGCTTAAGGATCACGGTTTGCCCTTTGTAGACGGCCATGCATTGGCGTTGTTCATGTTCTCGGCGTTTCAGATTTAGTCCAGGTGGCGCTGCCTTGGTCAAAGCTGGCAGAGGTTGCCGAGCAGTTGCTGGTGACTTTGGCATCTTTTCAATGTCATTCGCTGTGTAAGAGTCAGAAAGGTGGGGAGATTGTCTTGATTTGTTCACGTCCGATGAGGGAGCTGTGTTTAGCGTGCCGCTTGTTTCACTCAACCGCTTGTTTTCTACCGATGAATTCCAAGAATTTGGCCAATTTCGTCCGGGGCACGCGGTCGCGTTTGCGATGTGTCGACATTTGCCTTGGAAAGTAGTGAATTCACAACCCCAGTAAGAAAGGAAACACATTGACATGCACAGGCCAGGGCGTTTGGGTGATTGAATGGGTGTTTGAGCAAGAGTATTGAATGAGTTCTTGGGGTGGGTTAGCCGCAGGTCCCTGGAGTAGTCAATTAATTTGGCGCGTTTGTTTCTGCACGGGCAATTGACCCTTTGAGTCCGCAAGAGCAAAAGCGAAAGCGTGATCAAATGCAGTCATTCGCAGAGGGTCAAGAAGTCAGCAGGATGGACTCAATGTCCAGCAGTCACTGAGAAACCTGTCTTGGCGCCACAGCCCATTTGAGTCAAGCGGCAAAAGCAAAATGCCATCCATGTTTATGCCTCAGAAACAGCTTTCTAGTCCTCGGGTCAGCATGACAGACATCCAGCAGAACCAGCACCAGCACTGGCATATTTGTTTGCCGAAGAATCGCTTCAAAGGCATTTCCAGTGGCAACCGTTGTTCTGGATGCGACATCAATCAGCAACAATGGTAAAGGAATCGTTGCTTTCCTCACAGCAGTGTCGCCGTGAGCGTTACCACGAGTTGATGGAAAGCAGTTAAAAATAGATTTGATCGTTATGCAGTCTTGACTTGACTCATTTTGATTCGTCATTTTGGCAGAGCCCAGAACCTCTATTGAGGTGGGTTTGCCTACCTAGTTATTAGTTTCTGGAGTTTATAGTAGGGCCTATGTGAACCTTTATAGCTATCCTGGTAGAGCCCAAAGTCAATGGAATAGCGGCGCTGCTCATGTATGGATTGGAGTGACCTCACTTGAAGTTGGTGGGTTTTGTGCGTTGTGCATTTGCTGAACGCACCAGGTTGCTTTTTGTCTGGGTGGTTCAGAATCAATCTTTCATCCTTGTGCCAGATTTACCTTCTTGTAACTAGTGTGCCACTAGTCACTGATTAGCACCGGATCCCTGTTCCGGGGAACAAAACAACATCTTCCAGAGTCCAAGGCCCACTGCTCATCTTGTTGCTGAACCCGAAAACAAGCTGAACCAACAGAAAGTCTCAACCCCAGGGGATGCTCCCATCTCCCTGGTTCCAACTAGCTTGGTTTTATCCGATCCAAGCGGAGGAGTCCCTGGAAGTCGGCCGCGACAGCGTGGCCCTGGTGGGCCTAGGTGCGGGGCGCTGTCCGTCTACAGCCTTGCGAGGGAGCCACTCCAAAATATGTTAGATCATTCTCGCCCCCACTTATGAGGTGTATGTAGACATGTCTGCATATATGTATCAAAGCATGCTCCCTGGCGAAGGGTCTCAACTGGGGGGGTTCCACTCCGGACCTTGTCCAAAAGAAGTTCTGCCCCCTTGCCTGACAGCAAAACAGCAAACGAGCAACGTGCAATGACCCAAATAACATCGTTCTGTGCATTGTTTCGTTTCTGCAACTCAACATCGTGCAATTCCAACTTAAAATTCGCATTGTATGGCATTGTTGCTACAAATGATATCGGAATGGTTTTGCGAGAGCTTCGCAATCAATTCTCCAGAAGCCATGAGATGTGTTGTTTAATCGAGTTCGTTCATTGTTTGGGAACGGATTATTCAACCACAGAATCTGCAGCTTTATGTGCAGCCGGTTGGGATCTGACCATGTTTTGTCTCCAGTTGTTAGCTCCAAGTCCACAGCTAGGCAGGGAAAGCCAGATGGTCGAGTTTCATGAGCAACACGGGCTGATTTCCTCGGCAGATGACACGATCGAACCACACGCGAACCGCCCCGTGGAAGACTTGGCAATGCAAACCTTCAGTGTGCAGTGCTTTGGTGCTCCATCCCGCCCCTTTTTCACAATTATTCCTAGAAAGCCGCCTGTCTCCCAGCACGCACTTGCGTAGCCGAGCCTAGCGGGCCTAGCACAGCACGCAGCATGCGGGCGCGCTCCGCAAAGCCGAAACTTGGGTCCCCGGAAGCCGCGGAGCCTCAGGTTTCCAGGGCGTTGAAGCACTCAATTGGCTTAGGGCTTAGACTGACCCAGGCTACGACTTGTTCGCCAACTTTGGACTCTCTTTGAGTACCAGTCCGCTGCCGTGCACTTGTGATACCTGCGACATATCCGCTACGCGGACAAACCCGGGATGATGGCCTCGTGTTTCTCGAGACGACAACCGCTGACGCTCGCAGGCACTGGCGGCATCGTTGCCTTTGCCTTGGCGTTGGCGCTGGTCCGGCGGGGCGTGCTGCCGGCGCCTGGACCAAAATGCTCGCAGCTTTTCTATAGGGCCGAGGCCTGTGTCAAAGCCATGGCAAAACGACGCGAAAGCAAAGCGGTGAAACACGATGCAAAGTGATACAGAGCGAGAAACGATGCAAAGCATGGTGTGCGGAAATGAGCTGGACCGTTGCCCCTGAAATAGCCGATTCAGCTTTTGGCGAACTGTGCGCTATGCTTTGCGCATGTAGCTCCAAGGTGAGAAGTGTGAGGGTCTTGGCGAATGCCGTGGAAATCCTAGGAAGGCACCCGACATTGAGCCAACAGAGCACCTCGCGCGTGAAGCTTTTTCCAGAGAAATCCAAGCAAAGAGCTGTTGCCATGGTTCCTATTGCAGCACCAAGTTTTATATGGAAGCACCCCATTTGCCTCCTAGGCCATGCACGCTGTGAGTCTTTTCGCGTTTGTCCATCGGCAGAGGGGTCCTGGGCGTTTGCAGGAAGCGCAGCAATGAATCTGCGGTATTTTTCTGGCAGCCTGCCAGAACACTGGAAATGGCATGCAAAATGTCATGTGCTTTCGGTGCCAGTCCATATTGCATTGACTTCTGAGCGCGCTATCCCAGGCGAAGCTGTGCTGTGTGTCCTGGCGAAGTTGGGCCCGAGCTAAAGAGCGGAGTTGCGCACCCTGTAGCGTCGTCTTGGGCAAACCCAGGCCTCCCGTGCTGCCCCTTCTCTGCGTTTTTGTTGGACGGATTCCCTCGGTGATCAACTACCAAACCAAGTTGTTGTTGTCACTGAGGTCTGGCTCAACAAGTGGTATCAAAGGTAGCAGAGTAAACATGTCCGTTGTGGGCATGCACAGGTTCGGGGAGGGAGGGCAACCGAGAGAGCGAGAGAGGGAGGCGTTGATTTTATCCAACAGTGTACTCCTCGCACATATGTTTCGTTTGAAACTTGCTGACCGTACTTCACTCATTACAGCTAGACAATTGTATCGGACCCTGTTTCCATGGGCAGTGGCCTTCCATGGGCCAGAGCTGCGGATGTGTGAGGCCTGCAACTGGCTGGGTAACGGCTTCACCGTTGAAGTGCTCAGGTTTCCACAGGTGAGTCTTTCTGAACTCCAGGTCCAAAGGTGAGGTTCGGCCTCCGGCATGGGCCGATTTCCGCAAGGCGTGTCCTCCGACGGTGTGGCCGGAGGGAGCGCCCGGCCCAGGACGGTCGCGGGTCAGCAGGGTGGTTTCAGCGGAGTGCAGCCAATGGGCGCCTCCCAGCTTATTGCTTGCCACAATCCGCTGGGGCCCGAAATTCGGATCCTCTTTCGTTGAAGCCTCCCCGCGAGCGTGACATTTGACAAGGACGATGACTGGCTGCATTAGACAAGCGTTTAACTTTCCCTCGAGGTTCATGACTAGGACTGTTACGATTGTTTGCGTTGGAGCATGTTCAAAGCAGAGGCAATGGTAATCTTAGCCATCCAGGGTTGCTCTTGCCAGATCGTAGCTGGGATGCAAGTCAGGTGAATTCCACTATCTTCCAGAATGAGAGGCTGACATCGGCTGCCAACCTTGCACCCGCATGGACGAATGGAGGGTATGCCCGAAAACATCTCGAGCTTTCTCCAAAAGGTGCAATGCCGAGATTCCGTTCACATCCGCAAGAATGTCTTTTCCGTTCCTTTGAGAACGTGCACCATGTGCGACCGCATTCGTTGGAGTGTTGGCCTTAGATGGCTTAATATGGAAAAATATTCTTCAGGGGTGCAAGGTGCCGGCCGCGCTTTGGCAGGATCCTTGGTGACCACACCAGTAAGCCTCCTGGCGGTTTTCAGGGGTCGTAGTGGGCACAGCTGTGTGCATGATGGGCATGCTACGAGGGTCGTACGTGTGGTACAGCTTTTTTAAATAGTACCTGGGACCCCATATGGCTGTTTTTTTGGTCACACGCCTTTGACCGAAAAAATGGCCATACAGTTGTTTACGGCTTTTTTTCAACAACATGTCGAAAAAATATGGGTTTCATACGGGTGATTTACGCAAATGACCGGAAAAAAAAGGAAAAACCCCCCAAAAAAAAACAGCCATACGGGGTGCCAGGTAACATTTGAGTCACAAGGCCTTGCGGCTTTCTGGAATGTAAGCCGAGCAATCGGACTCATGATCTCTCATGGCACCTTTTGTCAGTTTCCATGGTCAGGCCTGTTGGAACTGGTTGGTTCCCTTGCCGGGATAGGTAAGCTCTCGTGGGGAGTCATACTGTACGAAAGTCGGCAATTCCCAGCACCTCGTCCAGTGAAATAAGGTACTCCTTTCTCCCGGCTTGCAAAACGGCGTCTAGCCAGCAGAAGGCTTTGGAATTTGTGTGAGGTCCTCTCCTTCCATTTGGAAGCCTACTCCAACGCCAAACCAACATGGAGCCCCCCGAAAGGTCCGTTTCTTCCATGGGCCAGTTAACCGCAAACATGTCAAGTCTCCTGTGAGCTGCGTCCTTAAAGCATGGTGCGCAATCGACAAAACGGTTGTCCCTTTTCAGAAAGTCCGGATCACGGAACGCTGACCTTTCGGTGGTTCGCCAGTGCCTCCACTCACCGTTCTTTAAAGGGTCACATTTGTTGGCCGTCCAGAGGCCAAACAAACAATCGTTTCCACGGACCAACTTTCTATTAAGCAGGCTGACGCCTGATGCCGCCGACCCCCAATGTGCTTTTATTGTTGATGTTGTGTTAAATGTTGTTTTAAGAATTCGAGGTACGAGGTAAACATTATGATGATGATTATTATTATTAATTGGCCAGATTCGCAAAAAGAGAAGAAAGAAGAAGACAGAAGTAACTCTAACGTGTAATAAAAGATGGACTGGATCTCCTCGAAATCTTGGATCAAAGAAAAGAGTACTCGAATGAAGATCACCCAACATTAAAACAAGTGTCCAGATAAGATAGGCAACGAAAGCATCATCATCATCATCATCATCATCATCATCAGTGTCATCATCAGTGTCATCATCATCCTCATCAGCATCATCCTCGCCATGCATCATCACCATCAGCATCATCATTCATCGGCATCAACATCATCATCATCATCATCACCATCATCATCATCATCATCCATCATCATCATCCATCATCATCATCCATCATCATCATCATCGGCATCATCCCCATCATCATCATGACCATCATCATCGTCATCATCATCATCATCATCATCATCATCATCATCATCATCATCCATCACCATCATCATCAGCAGCATCATCATCATCATCATCATCATCATCGTCCTCATCATTCATCATGAACATCATCATCATCATCATTATGAATTATGATCATCATCATTGTCATCATCATCATCACCATTCATCATCATCATCGTCATCATCATCATCATCATCATTATGATCATCATCATCGTCATCATGAATATCCTCATCATCATCATTATCAGCATGAGTATCATCATCAACATCGTCATCATCACCATCATCATCATCATCATGCTCACCAGCATCATCGTGATCATCACCATCATCATCGTCATCGTCATCATCCTCAGCATCATCATCAGCATCATCATCATCGTCATCATCATCATCATCGGCATCATCATCATCATCATCGTCATCATCATCATCATCCACCAGAGGTTAGGGTTAGAGGTGAGGGTTAGAGGTTAGGGTTAGAGGTTAGGGTTAGAGGTGAGGGTTAGAGGCGGTTAGAGGTTAGGGAAAGAGGTTAGGGTTAGAGGTTAGGGTTAGAGGTTAAGGTTAGAGCATGATCATCATCATCATCATCATCATCATCATCGGCATCATCATGATCATCATCATCGTCGTCATCATCATCATCATGTCATCATTCATCATCCTTATCATCATCATCATCCTTATCATCATCATTATCCACATCATCCATCACCACCATCATCATCATCATCGCCATCATCTTCAGCAGCATCATTATCATCGTGCTTCATCATCATCATCAGCATCATCATCATCCTCATCATCCATCATCATCATCGGCATCATTATCACCATCATCATCATCATCATTATAATCATCATCATCATCACCATTGATCATCATCATCATCATCATCTCCTCATCATCATCCTCATCATCAGCATCATCATCAGCATCATCATCATCGTCATCATCATCATCATCGTCATCATCATTCAGCATCATCATCATCAGCATCGCCATCATCATCATCGTCATCATCATCATCATCACCATCATCATCCATCATCATCATCATCATCATCGGCATCATCATCGTCATCAATATCAGCATCATCATCATCATCATCATCATCAGCACCATCATCATCATCATCATCATCATCATCATCATCATCATCATCATCATCATCATCATCATCATTCATCCATCATCATCATCACCATCATCATCGTCATCATGATCATCATCATCATCAGCATCATCATCATCGTCATCATCATCATCCTTCAGCATCATCATCATCAGCATCGCCATCATCATCATCGTCATCATCATCATCATCATCATCCATCATCATCATCATCATCGGCATCATCATCATCGTCATCAATATCAGCATCATCATCATCATCATCATCAGCACCATCATCATCATCATCATCATCATCATCATTCTCACCAGCATCATCGTGATCATCACCATCATCATCCATCAGCATCATCATCATGATCAGCACCATCATCATCATCATAATCATCGTCATCGTCATCATCGTCATCATCATCGGCATCATCATCATAATCATCATCAGCATCATCATCCATCATCATCATCGGTCATCATCGGTCATCATCGGTCATCATCGGTCATCATCATCATCATCATCATCATCATCATCATCATCCATCACCATCATCATCCTCATCATCGTCATCATCCTCAGCAGCCATCATCATAATCATCAGCATCATCATCATCACCATCATCAACATCGTCATCATCACCATCATCATCATCATCGTGCATCATCATCATCATCATCATCATCATCATCATCATAATCATCATCATCGTCATCATGATCATCATCATTATCGCCTTCGTCATCATCAGAGTTAGAGGTTAAGGTTAGAGGTTAGGGTTAGAGGTTAGGGTTAGAGGTTAGGGTTAGAGGTTAGGGTTAGAGGTTAGGGTTAGAGGTTAGGGTTAGAGGTTAGGGTTAGAGGTTAGGGTTAGAGGTTAGGGTTAGAGGTTAGGGTTAGAGGTTAGGGTTTAGAGGTTAGGGTTAGAGGTTAGGGTTAGAGGTTAGGGTTAGAGGTTAGGGTTAGAGGTTAGGGTTAGAGGTTAGGGTTAGAGGTTAGGGTTAGAGGTTAGGGTTAGAGGTTAGGGTTAGAGGTTAGGGTTAGAGGTTAGGTTAGAGGTTAGGGTTAGAGGTTAGGGTTAGAGGTTAGGGTTAGAGGTTAGGGTTAGAGGTTAGGGTTAGAGGTTAGGGTTAGAGGTTAAGGTTAGAGGTTAGGGTTAGAGCTTAAGGTTGGAGCATCATCATCATCATCATCATTATCATCATCATCATCATCATCCAGCATCATCAGCATCATGATGATCATCATCATCATGATCACCATCATCACCACCATCATCATCATCATTATTATTATCATCATCATCATCATCCATCATCATCATCATCGTCATCATCATCATCATCATCATCATCATCATCATCATCATCATCATCATCATCATCAATCATCATCATCATCATCATCGTCATCCTCATCATCATCGGCATCATCATCACAATCATTATCATCAGCATCATCATCCATCATCATCCATTATTATCATCGGTCATCATCGGTCATCATCGGTCATCATCATCATCATTATCATCATCATCATCATCCATCACCATCAGCATCATAATCATCATCATCATTCATCATAATCATCATCATCATCATCCATCATCATCAGCATCATGATGATCATCATCATCATGATCACCATCACCACAATCATCATCATCTTCATCATCACCACATCCTCATCATCCTCGGCATCATCGGCATCATCATCATAATCATCATCATCAGCATCATCATCATCATCATCATCATCATCATCATCGGCATCATCATCAGCATCATCATCATTATCATCAGCACCATCATCATCATCATAATCATCGTCATCATCATCATCGTCATCATCATCATCATCATTCATCATCAACATCATCACCACCACCATCATCATCATCACCATCATCAGCATCATCATCATCATCATCATCATCATCATCATCATCATCATCATCATCATCATCATCATCATCATCATCATCATTCATCATCATCATCATCATCATCATCATCATCATCATCATCATCATCATCATCATCATCATCATCATCATCATCATCATCCATCATCATCATCATCATTATTATCAATCATCATCATTATCGACTTCGTCATCATCAGGGTTAGAGGTTAGGGTTAGAGGTTAGGGTTAGAGGTTAGGGTTAGAGGTTAGGGTTAGAGGTTAGGGTTAGAGGTTAGGGTTAGAGGTTAGGGTTAGAGGTTAGGTTAGGGTTAGAGGTTAGGGTTAGAGGTTAGGGTTAGAGGTTAGGGTTAGAGGTTAGGGTTAGAGGTTAGGGTTAGAGGTTAGGGTTAGAGGTTAGGGTTAGAGGTTAGGGCTAGAGGTTAGGGTTAGAGGTTAGGGTTAGAGGTTAGGGTTAGAGGTTAGGTTAGGGTTAGAGGTTAGGGTTAGAGGTTAGGGTTAGAGGTTAGGGTTAGAGGTTAGGGTTAGAGGTTAGGGTTAGAGGTTAGGGTTAGAGGTTAGGGTTAGAGGTTAGGGTTAGAGGTTAGAGTTTAGAGGTTAGAGTTAGAGGTTAGGCGTGTCAAAAATCCGCCGCGGGACCCCCCCTCCCCCCCTCAGACTCCCCTAACCACCACTTAGAACACGCCTCGCCCCTTTGCAGAGACTAACTTGGCTTTTGCAAAGGGGTCGGCGGATTCTAAGGGTCTTTTCAACCTTTACCGTGCCTTAAGGCTGAGTTTCGACATCCCAAAAAGATAATTATAGGGATCCTTCTTTGGCGGCTGGTTCCTGTGGCTTCTTCCTCAATCTGGGTATCGCCTCTGCCGCGAGGCTACCTCACCTGCGCGGAGTCTGTGGCTGGCCCTCCCTGGCGGTTCGAGACCAGCACTTTCGGGCCCTTCGCCCAGCGCCACTTCGAGGCGCCGCGTTGCCGTGAAACACCCGTGTGTGTGTGTGTGGAGTGTGTGCGTGCATGGGTGGGTGGGTGGGTTGTACCATTTTCGAGGTGAAAGGAGAACTTGCAATTGATTTGGAGGTCCCCCACGTTGTAACACAAACCCAGTGTGGGGCTGTGTTTTGAGGGTGCCCCTTTCAAGCTTGGTCATTGGTGACAGACAGCAAAAGGAAATCATTTGTGGAACCCCCCCCTTCCCCTAGTGTATAACAAACCCGAGTGGCGGCAACCGCGGGGAATCGCCCCCAGATTAAGATGGAAATCATCATGCTGTCCCTTTTTTCAGGGAAGCTCCTTGAATGAAGGTTTTATGAATTTGCAGGGAATTTTAAATCTCTACTTGGCAAATGCTGGGGGGGGTGTCCTTTTGGAGAGTCAAAGCGTTGTTGGATGGACTTCTGGGAGATCATCCCCCAATTCATTTCACTGGGTCGACTAAGGTCAGGGGTCAATATGATGCCGTGGGTTTGAAAGCAGGTGGCGTGGTGTTTGGGCGGCCGAGTGTTTTTGCGATTGTTTGAATCCATGGCTTTACCTTGAACATCAGGATGATACGCGTCTTGTACTTTGGAGCCTCCGGCTCATTCCGCCGACTTCTGCTGCGGTGCCTGAATGAGTGGTAACATGCCCTTTGATTTTGATCATTGAAATATGTTGGATTTTGTTGACTGGTTTATGTTTGATTTAGTTTGGTACATGTTTTGAGGACCCTGATGGTTGATACATGTTTGCTTTGGAGCTCGCCTAGCCTTTTGTGCTGGGGGTGGGGTTGGGAGTGGGAAGTGGGGGGGGGGTGGGGGAGTGGAGTGGGGAATGTGGAGTGTGGAGTGTGGTGTGTCGTGTTTGTCGTGTGTCGTGTTTGTCGTGTGTGGTGTGTGGCGTGTGGTGTGTTTTGTGTCGTTTGTCGTGTGTGGCGTGAGGTGTGTGGTGTGTGGTGTGCAGTGCGTCGTTTGTGATGTGATGTGTGGCGTGTGTGGTGTGGTGTGTGGTGTGTGTGTGTGTGTGGGTTGTGTGGTGTGTGGTGTGTGGTGTGTGTTGTGTGGTGGGTGTGTGGAGTGTGGAGCGTGGGGTGTGGCGTGGGGAGACCCAAAGCCCATCCAATTCTCAAAGAAACCACAGACAACACCCAGCTTATACCCACATACCACTTGAAACCCACACAAAAACCCACACAAAACCATACAAAACCGCTCCAACACCCGCATGACACCCAGACAAGACCCACAGAAAACCCACAAAACCCACACACCCACCATAGAACTCACACAGTCACACCCATTCCTGCACCGAAACTCCCCACGCTGCACTGGCCCGGGCGACCCAGGGAGGATTCGACCCCCCGCCCTCCGCCAGCGGCTCCTCGCCATCCCAGTAAGTGAAAGTGAGTGAACGTCACAAAATCGTAGGTGCGCGGCCCCCTGCGGAAGACTAGGGGGAAGCTTCCAACCACGCCGCAGAAGTCGGCGAACATGATACAACCTGGATAGCCTTGCCACATCGGCATTGCTAGATTTCTAGCAATCCATGAGGGCTGCCTTTAAAATTAAAGGAGGTTCATGCTAAATCGACTGAGGCATCCGGCGTGTTTGTGTGTGTGTGTGTGTTATTTTCATGGGCTGCATAGGCTACATTGCTGTGGAGTTGTGCATTCAACTTGAGGGATGGTAGTTGTTTTGCTCCACTCTGCTCCACTCTGCTTCACCTTGATTCGATCATAGTATTGGCATGTGACATGTATTCTCAACTGTCTCCTTGATTGAATCATGGAAGTGGAATCAAGTGTGCCTGTTCAAGCACAAAGCACCTCCTCAACCACTGGCACATGATGGCACACATGAAAAGACACTCGTGAGAACTGTACGTTGACAGGGACCTGAGTTATCTGCACGTTACTTCTCTCCCTGCAAACTTCAGCCTTGGGTCTTTGGCAAAAGTGCCATTGTGGCCATGTACACTGCAATGCACCAGCCTTACAGCATGCTTGGGTACACAGGCCCTACCAGTGTCACAGCATGGAATCATGCTGCACAGTTCTATATATGGCTCTTTTTGGCCATGAACAAAGGAGGGCATTGACCCGCACTCGGAGCTGCAGTAGCTGTAGCAGCCGTAGAAACAGTAGCAGTGGTCGATGATTAACATGTGGTGTGCTTCCCTGCCCTCTCGGGTTCCACAAGCTGGCTTAGAAGAAAATGAACCAGCAAGGGCTGACGAGACATGTCTGACACCAGCCACTTAGGACAAGGCGACAATGGTTGCCACGATTTCGGAGGAGATAAACGGTTTTAGATGAAGGAACGTGCTCCTGGCACCGCCTGAGATGACACTCGCAGCGCCATAGGCAGAGATAGACCTTGTTTTCAATAGCGACTTAGAGGCACACAACAATTTACGTGGCTGCTTCGGCTTTTTTGTGTTGGGCTCATCGTGCTGTCATTGAATGGTATTGGCTTCGGATTTCGCAGCCGCATACAGCGTGGGTGAATGTGTGCTTATATGCAGATGGCGACGTCACTAAAAACAGCGCGCTCTTTGCATGCATCCAGCCACCCTTTTCAACGCATCACTGACTCATGTGCCCAACATACCACCCGCTTGCTTGAAAGTGTTCAAGTTGGCTGTCAACATGATTCTTCAGCTAGAAGCGCATTGAAGTGCTGCGAGGATTCTTGGCTGAAAGTGAGTTTACATTCTTGGCTCAAGTCGGGTGCTCTGACCGCGCCGGAGATTCGCTGGAGACATGGTGAAGAGACACGTGAAGAACCGCCGCTCAGCTTATGAGTCTTATGAGCCACTGGCGGCATACCACTTTTTAGAATTTCGTATTCGAGCTAGTCGCCTCAGTGGAGAAGGGGAGTCGATGGGGTTGCTGCTCCTGTTGGTTGCTCGGAGCTTTTGGGAAATGAAAAACTGACAACATTCGCATTGTTTAGTCTTAGATTGATTCCAGGGGGTTGTGCTCAATACTAGCAGTCGATTCGCCCCCGCACTCCTCACCTCTCCACGGGGATGTATTTTGTTAGGAGTGAGGGGGGAATTAGGGGTGATGCGTACGCCAAACTGGAATAACTTCTGCCTGTTTAGGCTTGATTTGGGGAAGGACAGCTGGGGCTTGTTTTCCACACTTCCAAACGCAATAAAGCTCAAGCGGTCACTGTATATATATATATATACAATATATTAGCCTGTTAGCGGCTTGGTCAGAAAGCTGGAGGGATGCAACCATTTCCAACCTGAGTGTACTTCACTGTTCACGTGTTTTTGATTTGACTTCTGTGGTTCTGCTCATGTTGAATGTGGGAGGTGCAAAGAGGATGTTTGACATGGCTGAGAAGTGTTGATAATTTGGAAGCAAGCCAGTTTAATTGGAGCATCGTTGCATCTTCTCATTGGCATTGCCAGTAACCCCCCCTCCCACCCAAAGGCAAAGCACACCTAGGGCCAGTACATGGCACCCCTTCTTCTGTCTTTCGATGTTCGGGCACCCCGCGCAAAGCGACCTCAGCTTGCTTCCCGCCTGGACTGAGGCAAGTGCAAAGGCAACCGCAAGTTCAACGGCCCCAAGAGCAAGACGCAGCCCAAGAAGGCGCCTGGAAGGACACAGCGCTGTCAAAGGTGAGCATGCCACGCATGTGGTTGAGAGGTCTAGGACCAGAGGCCATTAGGAGGGAGCTTAGCTGCACCATGCTGCTTCCTTGTGGGGCTTGGACCGTTGTACATGACATGTTGATGAGTATGTGTCAGCCCTGTGATGGTCAGAGCAAGAGTAGTGCATGTTCAGACCAGGGATCAGGCCCTTTACGTTTATTAGTAACAACCTACAATTTCGCCCAACGTAGACAGCATTGTTTCCCCCCCTCCTACCCGCCCCCCCCCTTCCGGTAACCCAATGGAAACAAGGAAGCAGCAAGGGCGGCGGATCTCACGAGCATCCCACAGACCTCAGCTCCGGCAAGGTAAAGATCAGCATCCAGAAGCCCTCGACTAAGACACCTCCAAAGGAGGCGCGCCTTACGCTTTGGGGCAGATGGCGACTTGGTCTTGTGTGCTGTGCGTGTCATCGTGGGGGCCTTTTCGTGTTGGCTTGGATTCACAGAGATGAGCCAGGGGGGTGAGAAATATGCCCTGTGAAACTGATCCTTACGCAGCCGTCGTGAGCTTTCCTAAAGAGAGCCATGGACATGGCCCAGGCAAGGAGGCTGACAAGGGTATAGTAATGAATCATCGTCGACATGTAACTACATGACTAAGTCCGGATAAAGAAGTGATGACCAAAAGAGCCGGGACCCCGTATAACTCAGTATATCATCCCTTTCAGCTGTTTCTTTGATTTAAAACCCCCTACCAACATTGAAGCAGGGAGGTACCGTTTGCTGAAGCCCCTATCTCTCGCATTCTCAAAGACTCGCATGGAACATGAGGGGCTGCAGGAGAAGAAAGATGTAAAAATGGCAGCGCCCAAAGCCGAAAAGGCAGGGCTGCGTGCCTGCGTGCGGTTGTTATGTGCCAAAGCGTTGCGGAGAGAATTGTGTTCTTGCCCTCTGATTCAGAATGCGTCGTCAAGTTGTTTGACGTTCGAAACAATCCAGGATGTTCGTTTGACACTGCGGAGCCCAAAGCTCAATGATGGGCGACAGCCTTCAAAGCCAATTTTCAATTGTTATGATTTTGCAAGAAGGTAGTGTTTCTTCTCAATAGGGGGCTGCATGGACCAAACCATAGACCAGCGGCAAGAATCAACTTATGGGGTCCGCCTTTCCCGCCCTCTTCAATATGAGGGCAACATATTCCCACGATGTGACTTGTGATCTTCTGAAACCGCGTCAGTTCAGCGCATGTCAATTTTTCCGACCTGTCGGTTAATCATGGAATCATCTCGTGTTGCTTTGGATGTGCTGCAGCGCTGTCGCAGCTTTCTGCGGGGTATGCAGCGTGATGGTTGTTGCTTTTGTGTCTGAAGATTTGCTTGGGATGCCTTGTGGGTAGCTCTTGTGATCAGACAGCGGCTAGCAAAAGCATGCTGGCACCGCAATCTGCGAGTTGGCCATAAGGAGTTCCTCAAATTCAAAGCGGTGGTGGTATTTGAAGGGAAACCAGATGGAAACCATACATTTTTGGGAATCCGATCTTGAGAAACAGGTGAAGATGCCGGGCCAGCTCTCCAAGACTGAGAGACGCCGAAAAAGAAAGGCGGAGGAGGAAGCACGGAAAACGACGGAAGCAAGCAAGGCGGTCGGCGCGTTGATCCCCACGCCCTTTAAAATGGAATGGGGGGGGCTGACCCTTGGAAGTCCCTTCATAGTTTCATTTTCTGTTCTGGGAAAACTAGAGCATGAAATGAAATTCGTGCCCTCCGAAACGAAAGTAGGGGATGTGAGCTTTGGCAGTTCTGAGTTTGTCAGCCCATGGCATCAATTCGCCAGTGGCCGGCTGGAGGTTGTATTTTCGCTATGAAATGGCACCCAATCTTGACTGCTATTGGGTTGGATCTTTCGACTTCAACTTTTTGGGACATCAAGTTGGGGTTTCCACTAAACCCACAAAAGCCAAGCGTTTTGCAGAGGGGTCAACCGCAACAACGCCCCCGTGGGTTTCCTTCCGTCAGGTGGCCGCGGCGCCGGCGCCGGCCGCGCCGGCGGAAGCGGAGCCGGAAGCGAGCGGGCCGTTTGAGAAGCCCGGCGGGAAGTGGGGCGGTTTGCTGGGCATCGACTCGGTAAAAAGAAAAGACGGCTTTTTGCCTGGGAAAGGTGGCAGAAACACTTCCTTGTGGTGGGTAGTGGTACCCCACTCATTGCGGATTGGGACTACGGAGCTTGCTTTGGAGGATGGCATTGTTGTGATGTTGGTTTGCTGCGGCTAAAAGGTTCTTGGGCTGCCGCCGATGCGTGTTTTGTTGCGAATGCGTGATTTATTATGCGTTGTTGGCCAGGCTAGCTTTGAAGAGAGAGAGAGAGAGAGAGGCTGACAGAGAGGCTGTGCGAGAGACTGGAACATGGCCGATTAGTGTGTTCCGACCAAGCATCATTTATGTTTGCACGCAGTCGCTCTGCAGCAATGAGAGTGCGGAAAGGCAAAAAGCTGTCGGTCACAGTCACGGGCGTAGATTGTTTTGCAAAACACGGATCAGCATTACTTGCAGTCATCTTTGTTTGCATCATTGTCAACTTGCTGCATTGTCCGCAGTTAATTGAGTTGAACTGACACGATGGCAGCTGCACCCTTCATTATCCGTCAGTGTATACGCATTTGCTGTGATGGCATGGCATGTGTGTGTGTGGAATTTGTGTGCTTGCATGAGTTGAGGTTGAATAAAAGAACGCCTTGATTCAAATTTCGGAGGTCCCTTGTGTCCAAACTGCCCCGTTTTACTGCAAGACAATATGGATTTAGACAGAAAAACGTGATCGTGGGAAGCAGCCTTGTCAGCCGGGAAGAAAACACCGCTTGTTGGGCAGCAAACAGGCCAGACTTGTCAGCTTCGAGCTGGAGATGCCAAAGTTTGCTTCGTACACTACGCTTGCACTAAAAGGTCGCGATTTCGAGGTTGAAGGTGCAGAATACACAAATCACCGCAACGAGGGCTTTTATATTAACCCCCCCCCCCGCAGCGCTTTCCACTCGGCTCATGTAAACGATCGCTCCCCAACAGATTGATCAGGACTCATTCTTGGCTTGACTCGGGTTCTACTTTCAACAAGCCTAGTTGCATACACAAGCAGGCTGGTGAAAGAACAGCAAGTGTCTCCACCACTCGCCACTTCGGGGGCCGTCAATGCTTGCATGACAAGAATGCTAGCTTGCCAGACAGAAGGTGACGCAACCTACACGCCAATGACATTCGAATCTGTTCAAGAGATCAGGGAAGAAGATGAAAGTCTACGTAGAAAAGTCGACACCTCGGGTCGTTTATGTTTTTCCAGATGAGTGATCAACTGAGCCGTTGAAATGCCAGATGGTTGGCTCCAAGCTGGACTCAGTCGAAACCCATTAGCTTGACGTCGTGGCGTGTTTACTGCCCTGCTGAGGAAGTCCAAGAAGCAGCGCCGCAAGGAGCAGCGGAAGGCAATCCAGGCGAGGGAGAGGGTTGAGGGGGAAGGGCTGTGTTGACTCATGGCTTGTTGGCCGGTTTCATGCGACTTTCATGACCATGTTGTGCTGCTTTTTTTGCCCCGTCCGCACCCATGCCCCCGTTGTCCTTCGCTGGCATATCGATTCAGCCTGAGCCATTGTTGTCTGGAAAGCCGGGCGTCAGAATCGATTCTGCTTGCCTACGGTCGTCACTTTACTTTTCCG